CACGAATTTAATGTGTAGTTTAGCCGCAGCTATCATTAAGTCTAATTGACTTTTTATAGCCGTTTGTGTTCTTATTTCATTTTTTTTGTCTGTGTCTGTCTTTGCATTTGTTTGCTCTGCTGCTATTACAAATGCTACACTGAGCGAAACAAATGGCTGCTTTAAATTGAGGCAAATATCTTATTTATTGTTATTCTATTGTTATTGGTTTATCATGGATACGGAATATCTATAAAATGTTTTTTTAATTGAAATTGTGTTTCGTTTAAAGCCATGTAGCCCGCTTTTTCGCTCAGTGTGTGCACACACTATTCGTAGAAGTAATTGTCGGGGCTGGAGCAGAGGAAATCAACTTTGCCACATCATATTATGGTCTGCTTCGGGCACCTTCCACAGGTGTGCGCTTTATATTATAATGAGCATGTTTCAGCGCAACAAAACGTAACTTCAAGTTCAGGGTGAGTAATCCCGAGTCAATGATTCGCTCGATATTCACACGTATCACTCAATCGCAATTAGAAGACAGCAACAACAACAACAACAAAAGTGAAAGTCGCGCTAGTTGAATGGGACACAAAGGGATGGAGGGGGGAGGGGGGGGGGGGGCGTAGGGCGGTGTGGCAGCCACTCGTCAAGCAAATTCAATTAAAAGGCAAATAATCGGCGACTAGACTAAGGACGTGTGCGACTTGTAGAGCACATAAATCACATGACGATGTGTGCATGAAAAATGCGTTCAAAACAATTTGCATACATTTCGGTGACAGACAACAACAACAACAACAATAACAACAACAACAATCAGCGAAATGCCGCTGGGGTGTTTGCGAATTTAATTTACGAGCATAAACAAGGGGCGTGGCAGCTGTTGTTGTTGCTGTTGCTGCACAAATTGGTCTTGTGCGTGTGTTGAGATTTTCAGGCGGCCGGCAAAACTACTTAATTATGAAGCCAATTCTGCAATTTGCATTGAAACGGCAAACGGAGCTCACTGAAGCTGTCAAATAATCGCAGACTTTAAATTTAGCATGCATGGCCAACAACAACAACAAGCACAGTAGCAGCAACAACAACAGCAACAACTACTTTATTTACGTGCTTTGTTTTTGCGTCAATTGCGCAACAAGTTGGCCAAAAAGAACTTCAATTGGTCAACAAGGCAAAAGGCGTTGTATCAGGCCAATTGCCACAGCTTGGGCTAAACGATGCGGCACTTAACTCGTGGCCAAGTCGAAGGTGACTCCAAAGCGGACAGCGGACAGCTGGTAACAGCAGCCAAACGGGGGTCGCTCTTAAATTCATTAATGAAAAGACAAAGTTTGGTATGCATGCCCTAGCAGAGAGGGTATACGGATATTGCCGATACATTTGCGACCATACAGACTTATGGGAGATAGTTATAAACAGTATGGCGTTTGGCCAAGAAATTATTCCCATCATATACTTGCCTGGGCTTTGAGTCCAGTTGATGACTGAGTAACTCATCTAGGCCTGGCGGGCTTAATTGAACTGAATCGGCTCGAGTCCGGAAGTACATTGTTTTATTTAAACATGAACCGCATCTGCAACCAAATCAGTTGCTCAATAAACTTCAGAGCTTAAACTTTTGTTATAGCTTGCTTTTGCTGTTTCTCGATGTTTTGACGCGTTGAAATTCGCAACAAGCTTAAGCTGCGAACGAGTGACAAGGTTTCGGCAAATCTGAAGTTAATAAAAAATGCTGCTAATGAGAGAAACGAAAGGTTCTTAAAAAATATCTATACAGTCAATCTGATACGATATTTGTATTTATTCTAGAGGTTACTTAAACATATATAGCACAGTCTGCTCAACAGAAGGAATATGTCAAAAGACAAATAATATTGAAGTACTCTGCCAGTTAGAGTATTCAATTACTTGGGATAGAAGAAAGCATCTGAGCATAGAGTTTACCTCTTCAGCTCAGATCAGATCAGATCTCGGTCACAGTCTCAGTCTCTCTCATCTCCCTTCACTTTTGTGAGACTCACTTTATATTTTTATTAGAGTATTCAAGTTTCGTCATAGTTAACACACATGTTTTTGTTTTCTTGTTTTATAATGGCCATAATATGTGCTCGTCGCAATTGCTGCTGCTGCTGTTGCTGCCGCCGTTTCGGGCTTTGCCAGGGCTGTGAATTGAAGGTATTCTAGCAAAAATTTTGTTACTAGCTTTTTCAATTGTCTTGCCATTGTTACACTTTTCAGTTGCTGTTATTATTATTAGTTTTTGTTGTAGTTGTCGCTGTAACGTGCACGACATTGCGGCAGCTGTAGCAGCGCGACCTTGACCGCGTCCACCGTGTGGTATACTTAATTGGTGGACACGTTGGCCGCGTCACCGTTGCGCACCATATAATTATGCAAAATACGTAGCTAATTAAATAATAACTAAAGTCAATTGCATGCTAATTAAACAGTGCACATCCAGTTCCAGTTGCTGACTTGTGAAATTTTCGGATTTCGCTGATTTCTTGTCCCTGTTGCATTTCCATCGAAAAGACATCAATCATAGGCCAGATATTAGAGAAAAAAATTGACGGCTTTTAATTTGAAGTCTGATTTCGTGATTTGTGTTGCAGTCAGAGCTTGCAGCTTGGCAGCTTGGCAGCTTGTGGCATGCCACCGCAACTCGATGTGGTTGCCCAATGCGAACAATGCGAACAACCGCAAAAGCCATTAAAATGCAATTACAGGCGCAACCACAAGAGGGCCACACTCAAGTGGGTGGTTGGGTGGTTGGGTGGTTCGATACGACACACGCAACTCGTATCCTGTTTTATGCCAATCCAGTTGATCGTTCGATTTGCTGGACATTTGCATATCGATAAAGCTGCGACACATGCAAATCGCTGCCTCGAGGTGTCCGGTGAAGGGTTGAGCTGCCGTCAATATGCAGATTTTGGGCACCGCCAAACCAAAAGAATTGTCCACCGCTTTTTGTTTCTTTTTTTTGTCGATTGATTTATGCGCCATAAACTTTAAGCGCGCTTTGTGCGCAGAATCAAGACTCTCAGCAGCTGCCACTCAAGGCCCCGCCGGGGCCTCAAGCCAAGAGGCCTACGCCCGATTGTATAATCGCTTTTTATCGCAACAACCAAAACAACTAACAAATCGAGAAACATACAAAGTCTCTGCATTTGCATTGATTATGCTGCGCAGTCGGCTACCCGACTTTGCAGATTGTTGCCAGATAAAATGATGAGGCGTGCCCCGGAAAGAGTATGGCAGCGGGGTGGGAGGGGGAGGGAGGGGAGGGGGAGGGGGGTCAGTGTTGGCAGGATTGCAAGATATTAAGAATGGCTATTAAGAAATCTGGCAGGCCATTAAAAAGCGAGTGCTCAAATATGATTCGAGCATGGAGTGCATTTTATTTATCATATACCCTGTAACATAGAAATGCACGCACAGGGTATACTAAAGTTGAGGTAGTTTAGGTAACAAGCATTAAGAGATGCTAGTCACATTTCTATGTTAATAACACAATAACCTGAAGGAACTCAGAGATTTCGAGAGCTAGATATGTGAGTTATGTGTATGCAATCAATGAAAATAAATACAATTATTTTGTTTTTCAATTGAATTGGTTCAAGATAAAGAAAAATACTTTGCTTGGCAAAGGCGGGTAATACATGCTACTGAGCAGTAAAGTGTAGCTAGAGAGAATATTAAGTATACGCAGTTTTTTTTCATTTAGAAACTTCCCTTAATATTAAGCAGAGTGGAAAGCTTACATACAGGGCATTTCCTAGCTGGGAACTCTCTCCCCAAAAAAAAAACTTAGTTTATTTTTGTAATTTATTTGCATTTGCGATGCGAATTGATTTGGCGGCTAGTCGCGAGTTACGCATACGCAGCGTACGCCGTGCCGACGATAAGAAATCAGTTAAAGAAAAAATTAATGCACAAATGTCCAGCAACAAAGTGGCAGGCCAGGCTCTGTTGGCCATTCGCAATTTGTTGCCAGCTATTAAGCAGTGCGATTTTTCAAGCCGTATTTGTGCGTATTTGGACGGGAATATCGCTGTGTAAATGGAGCTGAATCTGAAGCTGCAGCTGAACGGGGCCACATTTAGTCAATGCGCTGTCTGTCTGTCTGTCCATTTGCATGGGGGACAGCTGTGAATGGTTTTGCCTACACCTACGGCGAGATCGTCGACTGTCAATCAGTTAACACAAAAAAGAAAAAAGAAAAAACATGCTGATTGATAATCATGTGCGTGCGCAGATTTAGAAAGGAATCTTAACTGTGGGAGCTGAGCTGGAAGTACGCACCATTGCACAATGAACATTTGTCAGATATGTGGCCGCTCGTTAATTGCTTGTTAAGTAAACCGCAAATTACAATAAAATAACAAAAAAAAAAAACCAAACAATTACGAGAAACAAAGCACGCCAAGAAAAGCCACAAGAAAAACCACAACAAGAACAACAATGGCTGGAAAACGCGCTTTTCACACTCTGCACTAGTCGCTGGTTGCCCCTTCAGAATTTCCGGCTGTACTCTATTCAAAAACGCTGACAACTTATTTCAACTCGTAGTAACAGTAACTAGTAACTAGTAATTGATTTAGTTTATTTTATGCATTTGCCATGCACCACAGAGTTTTCTAGTCTGTGTCTGTGTCTCTCTGTCTGGCTAAATCGCGGCAACAAGGTGGCGCGTGACTGATTTCTGTGGCGCACTGCATCACAGCTCGAATCGAGATCGAGATAGAGATCGTATCTCACACTCATAAGCCTCTGCAGCATGCCTCTGTGCTATTCTCAAAGCCCCCGACTCGATAGCCGAAGCTGTACGAAGTTGTGGACAGGGCAGGGCGTTCACGCTTTTGATTCGCAGTTCGCTCGCAAATTCATGTTGTCGTTGTTGTTGCTGTCGTTGTTGTTGTTGCTGTCGCATTGTCTATGTGGTTTTCAGAATATTTCTCAAGTTTTGATTCGGTATAAATATGCCAAGCCGCGCTGCTGTTTAAGCATAACACACTCAGCTCTTCAGTCAAGTAGCAGCCAAATCTACAAACACCAAGCAACAACATGTTCAAGCTGGTAAGGATACGCGCCGCAGCCAGGTCTCAGGCAGCACTTAACTCTTTTGCATCCTCCAGATCGCCGTCCTGTCCGCCCTGTGCGCCGTTGCCAATGCTGGCCTCATTTCGCCCTACAGCCATGGCTATGGCCTGGGCTATGGCGCCGCCCTGGCGCCCGCCTATGCGCCCACCGTCATCTCGCATGCGCCGATCATCAAGAGCTATGCCGCGCCCATTGTGCATGCGCCCATTGTGAAGAGCATCCCGTTGGCCACTTCCTATGCCAACACCTATAAGGTTGCCACCAAGGCCTATCCCGTGGTGCATGCCGCGCCCGTCTATCATGCGCCCGCAGTTATTGCCGCTCCAGCTCTGCACACCACCTCCACCTACCATGGACACGGCGGATATGGCAGCTATGGCGGCTATGGCAGCTACGGCCTGGGCTATGCTGGCTATGGACACGGCTATCTGCACTAAGCACTGCTCCGGCTCAATCCCCATGACGACCCACAGGACCAGCAACGATCAGGACAACAACAACAACGAGAACAACATCTGCATCTACATTACCAATCGGATAATACCGAGAGATTGTGTGAGATTCTTCAGTACAATGTTCGCACGCTTTGCCGCTGTCAAAGTGTAGAACACAAAATAAACCCATTTTAACATTAAAGTGAGAGACAGAGACGGAGATAGACAGAGACACAGCCTGAGAGTGACAGAGAGAGCGAGAGATAGAGAGAGAGCTAGCAGGAGAGATCAAGTTAATGCTGTATATATGATTGTTTTTTTGTTATTGTGCAATGCTCGTGGTTTCGACTTAAGTAAATAAAAACAATTCAAAACTCGAAAACAATAGATCACTTTTTATTACTGCTTACACTGGGCAAAAACGGGGCCAATTTTTATATATTTAAATGGAAACATATTTAACTGCAAGATAAATTAACAAAGCTGAGAAAAGTATCAGAGTCAAGAACATTCTGATTATCTGAATTTGCTAACTGTTAAATACACTGCGAAAAGTAAAGTATCTAAACTAAATTTCATTTTAGTATACATTGAGTACCACTTAAAGAAGAGTACATAAAAATGGGAGAAGCCTTCGAAGCAGGTGATAAATTTAACAGATTTTACAAGCAAAGAAAAATAAAACCATAAAGAATTTTGACAATCTGAAATTCTGATTACCCAAGTTGAAAAAATTATACAATATGCAAAAGATGTAAAATATGAAAATAAAAAGTAATGATATTTTTGAAAACAATTCTAAGTTCTGTTTCGAATTCTATATATGCGAGTTTTTCCATGATTTTTTCTATATATATAAACTGAAAGCTAAAATTGAACCGGCGACCTGCCACTTGTCAGTCCGACGATCACAAAATGATTTGTTTAATTGAAGCTTCTATCAAAAATTTGTTTGACAATAAAAGAGCTCAATTTCCTTGGATATTATGGTTTGAACATTTGGTTTGCTGTTTCGCTCAGTGTAGCCTGCAAAGTGTTGTAATTTCCTTGAAAAACTAAATGCATTACAAATGCCAACGCCTGGCAATTATGCGACTGCCTGTTGAAAAGTAGCGAGGGGGGAGGTTGCGGGGGGGCCAAGTGGCTGGAAATGAAAGTGCGTCGAGTGGAGCAATTGAAATAATTATTTATTAAAGCCTGCCTGTCCAACGTCATGTGCGTCGTTCGAGCTAATTTCGCAATTGAGCTAAAAATTGGAGCAAATCAAAAAGTGGGCCAAACGCACAAAATATGTCACTTAAATCGTATTGGCCAAGTTAGTTGGCTTTCATCAAATGTTTATAGAGCAGCCCGCCAACAAGTTGAGCCAAAACGAACGATCTGTGCTTAGTATTAATAATATTGTTATAAATAATATTGTTATTGTCCGCGGCGGCAACAACGCATTGCATTGTGGTGCTGCTGGCCTTAGCCAGTACAATAATTGTGGGCAAGATACCAAATATCAGATACAATGCGCATTATCGACATAAATTATGCCCAACGATCGTTGACTATAATTTTATTGGTGAAACATAACATTGACACCCGGCCGGCGACTGTCCTCAGCTCAGATGGCCGGATTAGATGGCCAGTCAAGCGGATCAGAGCCAGCAAAGGCCGCACCACAATTTGGCAACGACCTTCAGCGAAGCTGCATAGAGAACTGTGAGGTGAGGCGGGGCGGGGCCCATTCACAGATTGTGGGCCGCTTCCTACTTGCAATTTGCGCATTGAATATTCAACCAAGCGCAGCATTGTCTCTGCCACAGTGCACTCAAAAAATGGGGGCAAAGTGTGGGGCAGAGTGTGGGGCGTGGTGGGGCACACAGTGGTGCTCTCATGGCACAGTTACCTGCCGTCGATTTCCCACACCGTGAGGCCACGAGCTGCAATTGTCGCAATCGAAACACCTGTTCGTAGCTTGAGCTTGAGCTCAGTCGATTTGAGTGCTTTTTGGGGGGGGAGGTCTTGAGTTAAGTTGGCCCAGCTTAAAAGTATTCCATGCAATTTGGCTATTTGTGTTGTGTTGGCCAGGAACGTGCTGTCTATTGCGTAAGCATTGCACAGGGCCAAAAAGTGCAAGGACCTTTCGCCCACAACAAGCAAAACAAACATCAACACACATCAAGGACTTTGCCGTTGATTGCAGCGAGCGTCACGCATGCAATTAAAAGGGCATTCAATTGGTTGCACAAATAACGCAACAAGCAACAAGAGCTGCACTTGGATGGCATAACAACATTTCCAGCTTAATTACTGCGGTCGGTCACTCAACCAGCTGTCCAAGCTGATCCTGGCCGCAGGAAATGCAACCAACACATGCGTCATCCACGCGCTTAACAATTCCCTTTCGAGTGACCTTCCAGCGAGAGCGTTGACTCGGCTGGTTATACCCTGTGGATGGGCAGGCACAATGGGCATTTAAAATCTCTAAGCAGGCCCGAAGACTGTTAGGAAATACATGAAGCAGAAATATTCATTTGATTTACAAGCTGAAACCGAAGCTGGAACTGAATCAGTTGCTAAGACTTAATTGGAGCCTAAGCCCCTAAAATTGTGAAAAATATAATGAACCAACAGATCGAACCTAAAGGTGACATATTGGTTCAAACCTTTTATATTCTTTCAGAATTGAACTTTTTGTGTATTAGTTTTTTGTTTTATGTGTAAGAACCTCCAAAACGCGACCCAAGCTGAACATTTTCCTTGAGGTCCTCAAGTGATTTTCCTATCATAAAAACAAATGTTCTTATTCCAAACTGTGCACATACTTTATCTCAGCCTAGTTTAAAGTTAGTTTTATATTTGTTTAAGTGATTTGAACTAAATCAAAGCACAAGTTGTTGACTTTCACTTTATGGAAGTGCATGATAAACTACTCTTGAGTGCAGCGAGGTTGGCAATTCACTTAGTTGACGCCTGGGACTTGTGCACGTTAAGCTGCAACACGCGGTGCTGTTCATGTTGCAAGTGCGGGGGTTCAATGCCAGCCGGGGCAAACGCGGCGTATAAGCAACATATATTACTGCCACACACAAACAGAGATATGTGTGGAGGGAGAGCAAGGAATTGCCAAACTTCAAAAGCAACAATGCGTGCTTCAATTTGGCGCTGCGTGAGCACAACGCGTGCCACAAGTGGGCGCTGCAGGTGCCACAAGCAAACAAACAAAAAAAAAGAGAGAAGCAGGTAAGTCGTAAGGGAAAAGCGGGTTGAGGTGACGTGCCGTGCCGTGCCGAGAGCACGTGGCCCCAATTTAAGGCGCTTTATGCGCGGCAACAAGTCTGCGCGGCAAAATCCTGAGCAGCTGTTGCCAGCGGCACTTGAACGGTTGCTGCTGCCCCTTGCCCCATGTTGCTGCCCCCGTGCCCCTTGAGGCGCGAGGCTCGAGTGCTGCACGAGCGAGGGAATTTAAATCTGGCACATTCTCGGCTTACAATACCCTAAACATATTGATTTCTGGCGAGGAATACTTCGTTATGCTAATTTTTTGCGCCTGATATATTCTGGGGCGGGGCTGGCGTGCCACGTGTTGCGCATTTGCGAGCCATTTAATTGGCCCAATAAGCTTTTTTTTTTTCGTCGTACTGGTACTTCTGCTGCTCCACCAGCTGCTCCACCGCTCCGTTTGGGTAGGCAATGAAATTTTTGATTTTTGTTCGTCTGCCTGTTTTTTTTTCACAATTTTTTGGGATTTCCAAGCAATTCGATTCCAGAGATCGGTACGAGTTCAAAAAGGTATAACTTTCCAAAATCAGACCATTTTTAGCCGAGAATTATCGGAAGAAAACGAAAAATCTTCAAAATTATAACGGCATTTTTTCGCGTTTTTTAAATCGCAGTATCTCGGCCAAATATGCCCCGATCTTGGAAAGATTGGTCTCGCTCGACTCGTGGTCACAGCAATTTTCAGCCAAAAAACATAGTATTGGGCCATTTCTTAAAATTCCGATTTTTTGGTGTCAATCGATAGTCGGGATCCATGCGAGAAGAAAGAGGTATATGATTCCGAAATCGGACATCGGAAAGCATCGAAAATTCAAAGAGTTTACGGCTTGTTGTACACAATGCATACTTTCGCGTGCCGCGCGTTATTCATTTGTGCTGGCAAAAAGCTTAGTCTGCTTCGAGGTGTAGGCTTTAAAGGCACACACCCGCCGGGTGGGCGGTTTTTTATTGTGAGATTTATTTTTGCTGTTGGCTTTCAGCAGCAGGCAGCCGTTGCCATCAATCAAAGTCTCGAAGTCATGAGGCGTGAAACGTGCTCGCAATTCCGCTTTGCAACTGGAACCAGCTGCAGCTGCTGCGACTTCCACCTAGCCATGGCAACTTCTGGACACATTTCTCGCCCTCTCGCTTGCTCTGCGTGTGTGTAGGTGTAGGGTCTAGGGACCGCCTCTTGGGGGACTGCAGCTTGGAAGATTGCGAAACGTGTCGCGTGCAGTTGGCCGCACGATTCGCTTGTCGATGGGACGTGGCCTTTGGCTGCGTGAAATGCTCCCGTAATGGAGTTTGTTTGTTTTTTTAAACATTTCACATAATGCGTAATCAGATGAGCGGAGTATAAAAACCAGCGTCGTTTAACCAAATCAATTCATTTTATGTGAAAGTCTTTGAAAGTCCAAACGTACGAAATAAAATCGACAATTGCCGCAAACAAACATGTGCAGGATTGTAAGTATTTTGGGCGTATTCATTAGAGGTATCAATTGACACTATTAAGCCAAAAAAGGAATCGATTTCATAGAGTTCACAAATTATCGATCAGAGCAAAGCAGAGCCCTATTTAAGTGTCTAAGTGTTTTCTGTGTGAGCTCTTCTTTTAGCCTGAAAGCTTTCTGGATAAAACTTTCAGATTCAGGTTCCGTTCAAGATATAACTTCAACATCGGACTACTATATCACATAGCTCCTGTAGAAAGTAGAATCAAGGATAATTGAAATTCATCCTTCTTCTCTCTGTATTACACTGCTCCTCTCACTCTCACTCATCTCTCCCCTTTCAGCTCGCTCTGCTCTTCTTCTGCCTTTATGCGCCCTCGCACGCCAGCTTTTACCATGGTCCACCATCTGCTCCGGCTCCTGTGGCAGTGTCCGCTGTTTATAGCGCACCACCTGCGCTGACCTATGCCGCTGTACCGCCCACGCTCACCTATGCTGCACCACATGCGGTGCATGCACCGCCGCCAGCTTTCTTTAAATACGCTGCACCACACCACATCAGCACGTACGCGGCGCCCGTTGCTCCCGTCGTCAAGTATTCGCTGGGCGCACCTGTAACCACCACAACCACCACGTATACGGGCTTCGCTGCACCAGCTCCACCACCACCACCGCCACCGCCAGTTGTACACTATGCTGCACCACCACCACCACCAGCAACGTTTGTGGCCCGCTATGCTCCGCCACAACACGCTTACGCCTACCACGCGCAGCCTTCGTATGCCCGGGTTCATGTTCATGCCGCGCCCCCCGCTGTTGCCTATGCGGCGCCGGCTCCGATTCCGGCTGAGCTACCCTGTGATACCGCCTGGTGAGGCATATCACACACACACACACATACATATATCTAGTTATAATCATGTTAATTTCAATGCTAATCGACAATCGCGCCGTCGCGTATATTAGCTATTAATTAAGAGAGAATTTATAAGTGTGTGATTTAAATTGTTGATAATAAAACATCTTGCGCGGAATTTATGCGCCATCGTAAAGAACGCCAGCGCGTGTTAATCATATACAGCGGATGGGGCTTGCTTGAGCCACCGTAAAGTCAATAGAAATGATTAAAGCCGAAGCTAACTGTCGAGTTGGATCGATCGATCCATCGAATGACCCACCTCAATGCGAAATCCATTGAAGCTGTCAGCAGCGTTAGGCAAATCCGAATCCATCAAATGGGTCAACTCTTCTTCTTCTTCTCGATGACTGCTTTTATTAGCACAAATTATAACTGAATACATTTCGCAGGAGGTCAGCCACTCGACGAATCTCTATTGGGCATTCGGTTTGGGTTTTGGGTCCGAGTTTGGGGCTCGGCGTTTGGCACTTGGCGCTTGGCGTGCTGCCGACAATTTGTTGTTCAAACCGCAGTCGGGGTTGCCGTCTCAATTAAGTTCCTAAACAACATTAACTAAAGACTTATTAGCCAGTCATTGAGCTATCCGCAGTTGCTCAACATGCTCAACATGCTTGCAAGGTGTCGACATTGTTGTAGTTGTTTTTTTTTATTTTATTTGATTTTTTTGGCAGTCAGCTCTAAGCAGGTGCGCGACTTGGGAGGGGGCGCTTAACGCCCTCGTTCAAATTAACCTTTGAATATCTTAGGCAACAATTTAAGCTAATAAATTATTCTAATTTACTTAAAAATTACAAAATATGTTCTATATTTTTTAAATGTAGCTAATTGAATATTTGTGCAAAGTGCTTACTTCTTTTAAATCCTTAAACCAAATTTTATGCCTTTTATTAGAGCTAATGAAAGCTCAAGCACAAAAAAATTCTTGCTGTCAGCAATTTAAATTAAAGCATAATCCTTGCCTTCACTGTATATTCGTCTAAAAGAAAATAAAGGACGCAGCTTCAAGTTTCTGAAAAAAAAGATAAGAGAATAAAGAATTTATTAATGAATAATATATGTACATAAAATATTCATGTATGAATTAAACTTAGCTCAGCTCTCGATTATAATTTATAATTATTTGTAATGTTTAGCAAGTTTATAAAATGAAGATGTTTTTATTAAGTATAAATACAAAAAAAATTTTAATTAATGTGACAAACAATCAAAATTCCTAATATTCATAGCAATCACATCCCAACACATTTTCCGTAGCTATGAATAAAGCTAATTGCTGTGAGCTCCGGCTGAATATTAAGCAATCGATTAACAGCTATTTGACATTAGTAGATGAGCAAAAGTGGGGGCAACTAATCAGCTAGCTAATAACCCCCTTGGCGACGACCCTGACTGAGTGACTGACTGACTGGCGGCTTGCTGCATAGTTTGGATGCCAATCGAAGTGACCAACATTGATTTATATGCAAGGCAAACTAAATATTATCAATAGGCGCTGCTCAACAGCTGAGGCGGCAGCAAAGCAGCTCATAAAAAAAGCCAACAACTTAGCACAGATAAATAAACAGAGTCACAAGATAACAACAACAAAAACAAATGCCAGAGCTGCAGTCGACGTTGGCATCGAATTAAAGCGAAATAAAAAACCCGACAGCGACAGATAGAGAGAGAGAGAGAGAGAGAGAGGGAGAGAGGGGGACAACAACAACAAGAAACTGTTAAATAGAAGCAGAATGAATAAGTTAGCGCATATGGCCAAAAGCCAAGAGCCATGTCGTCAGGGGGACAGCCAACAACTGAGCTGAAAGCCAAAATATTTTGTCGACGCCAGCAGCGACGCTGGCAGAGGCAGCAGCGTCGTGTCGGCAGAAGCACAAACGCATTTTGATTTTTGTTTTTATACCCTGTAACCAAACAAATGGTGTAAAGGGGTATACAAATTTGTAGAACAGCCAGAAAAATAATATATTTAATTTACTTATAAGCTGTATCTCTTTTTTTATACATACATAAGAATTAATATTTATGCGTTCCATTCCAAAGTTCCCCGACAGTTGCTTTTTATGTATGCAACTGTGTTGATCTGGTTCGATAACATTCGATTCGATAATGTTCGATTGTAATGTCGAGATCGAGTGAAGCCAACTTCGCTCGATTCAAATGAATAGCCCGTAAGAAAAGAACGTAAATTTATAAAAATATTTGATATTTAACCGCGTTGTTCAACAAATGTTAAATTTTAGACAAATAAACCAATACAATTTGACATAAGTGTATATATTAAAATAAATAAATAAAAATATTTAAAAAATACTGTAACAATCGTTCTTTGATTATAGGGTATTTACTCACCACGCTTACCTACATTAAGCGTAAGAGTTTCCGAAGTGCTTTCGACCTCTTTCTCCGAATAAACAGGGTATCTTCTAGTCAAGACTCGGCACTCTCGTCTCTCTCACTCGCTTTGCTTTGCGTTGGGTCTTGGACTGGTCGAGTCGTCGCTGCGACTGTTTGACTGGTCGAGTGCCTCACCTGCTGCTCGTCTGTCCGTCCGCGGGCAGAACTCAGCTGAAGCTCAGCTGTGGCTCTGCGCTTTGTTTTTTGTTTTTTGTATCTGGGGTATAAAAAGCATCTTCAGCTGGCGCACAAATTTTAATCAGCCCGAAAAGCTGCGTCCGTCCACAACAGAAACGAATCGCAAACGAATCCCAATCGAGACTCAATCGAATACGCGAGTGAATAGTGTTGTAAAGTGAATCAATCCAAAGAATCTAACGGCAAAAATGTCTCACAAAGTGAGTGTGTGTGCATATGTGTGTGTGTGTGTGTGTGTACGTCTAATCTGTAACGGTTTCTTTCAGAAATCTGTGGCCAATCTTCTGCTGATGGGACTGGCGCTGCAGCTGACCTCGGCGGTGCTGGCGGACGTCTCGCACTTGGAGTACTCCATTTCGCCCAGCTCCCAGCTGGGCGCCTATCATTATCCCGCGCCGCGTGCCCCGCTGCGTCAGCTGTCGCACCAGCAGGTGGCGCGACAATTTGTGGAGCCAGCCCTGGAGCATGCGGCCTTTACCCAGGTGCTAACCAGCAGTGGCTACGTGTTCGGTGGCAATACTGTCGCTGCCGCCTCCGCCGCCTCGGCACCGCTGACCGCCGCGGCGACGGGTCGTTCCATTGGCTCGGCGACGGCGCATGCGGATGCCAATTCGCTGAATCTGAAGCTGCCCGTGCCCTTTGGCCTGATGCCATTGAATGTGGCGAATTTGCCGCTGCAGGCGGGCGCCTCATATGCCACAGTGCCGCGCACCACCGGGCTGACCTCCTACGGCACGGCGCAAATACAAAGGCGCTGAGCCAGCTGCACCACCAGCTGCACCACATATCTGTATAGATTTCCATAGGCATCGATTTTAGTTGATATTAAGTTGAACGCAAGCCACAGAGACAACCGACTGTTTTTATTACCTCTGTGAGTGAGTGTGTGTGTGTGTGTGTGTGTGTGCGCGTGCGTGTGTGTGAATCATCTTAGTGAATATACTCGAAATATACTCGAAATATATTCGAAATATGCTCGTAAATAAAGTAAAAGCTACTTGCCATTTAAAGCTCTCGCCACAACTAAACACAAAGATCGCCCTTAAATCGATCGCTTTTTTATGGGTGGGTTCATTACCAATCAAACCATCTCCATCCATCCAGCGGATCATTGCCACTGCAAACTCTTGTCTCTGGTTTGTCTGTGCTGCATTTGCATATATCGAGTGGAGTGGAGTGGAGAGTCGAAGGTCACAGCACCATCGCCAGCAAAGAGACGTCTTCATCAGACGATCGCACCTTTCACTCGATCGAGCTGCTACTTATCAAAGATCAATATTTGTTTATGCTCACACACTGTGGTTCGGCGGTGCAGGCTGCGGGGGTTACGGCGCTTATTAAACAACAAAAAATGAGATGAACATCTAATTTGCATACAAGTGTTTCGAGAGCTGTTTCAGCGCTCGAGGAGCTGATCGTAAGGCCTTAAACTTGGCATTGATTTACTAGCCGTAACCCGCCAATCTCCCCTCCCCCCCTAATTAGATGCCCCCTGGCCTATCGGTTAACCGGACACAATTGATTGCCGCAAATCCCATTAAACGGATGTGCGATTTATCAGCAAACGGAACTCTGATCTGCATCCAGCTTTTGAGAAACCACTTTTTATAACTGGATTAACAGCAACCAAACTCAGAAAACAATAACCAAAACGAACGGTACTGTCCGACAAATAAAAATAAAAACATTCCTAAATATGCATATTTTTATTATTATTAACTGATGCCTACGTAGGGGCAGGTCTGGCCCGGAGCAAGAGAGGGCGTCGAGGAAGTGAGCGGCATATCTCAAATTTCCGTATAACCATCAACTGACTGACTAACCTGATGGAAGAACTCATAATCAGAGCTCAGTCAAGAATCGCTTACACGCCACCGAAGTGAGAGGTCGTTGCGTTGATCAAGATTTTGATAGGCCACAAGAAAGAGCAATGCCGAATAGTAAATACCCTAGGAAATATTAGTTGAAATAAAATTGAAATGCAGGATTGTTCACTTAAGCCTATCTATATCTATCGATCATTCCTATCGGTGCATTATCATATTGTTATCCCATTCTTCGTATTTGATATATATCCTAACTGAAGCAAAAATAGGTAGATGTAACAAATTTGATCGATGTAGCTTCACTGAAAGACGAGTTCACAAAGGATACTAAGGCAAATAAGTGTATATAGGGAAAAAAATTGATTAATTATGCTGATCAAGCTTATATATACTTCATTCGCTCACAGATGTCTCTGTACAAAGTTTCATCAAGTTAGCTTCAAGAAAAGTCGAGTTCGTTTGGGGTATATAGAATCATGGGTAGATGGTTACAGATATTAAAAGTAGTTCATGCTCAGCAAAAAAATGTACACCTTATAGACTCCAAGACGTATCTATATTAAGTTTTGGTAAGCTAGATCCAATAAAAGTCGAGTTAACATAAGATATAATGACGGAAAGATATATGGGAACATTAAGAAAACTGTTCTAAATATGCTTAACAAGATAATATCCCCTTTATAGGCTATAGAGCTATGGCTAGATATCGATAAATAAAAGTTAAAACCCATCAGAGTCTCGAAATTGCCTTCTACCTGCTGTTACAAACGCTTGCACAACGTTATTTTTACCCGTTTTGTACACATTTACAGGGTATAAATATGCGGATACAGTTACGCATGCGCATACCCCACGTAGCACCAAGCTCTGCTCACTGGTCACTTGAGCAGATCATCTTGCAAGGCCTTGAGTTCATCTTGGAAAAAACAATGCGAAACGCCGACTGCGACGGGGCAGCGGAGGCTGCCGATGACGACGACGGCGACGACGACGGCGACGACGACGTCGACGTCGCCAGCACGTGACCGACGATTGCTCATTAAAAGTCCGCGAGCCGGTTTGAGAGCTGGCCAATCTGTGCGGGCCAATAAGACGAGCTGAATAATGGCTAAAACAGATGCCGATTTCGAGCGGAGCACATCCTGTCCGGGAATTGCCCTGGGGGTTAGCTCAAGGTCGACGCAGGATGCGCAGCAATGCGAGGCAATTGAAATTCTTTTTATGGCCGCCCCATTAAATGCGCACTAATGCGACACTTGCGAGGCGACACGCATTTTATAGCCGCAGGTCTAGCTTGAAATTGAGGCTAAAACCACCGCCAATTGGCAACCACAATTGACCCACACGATGATGGCGGTGGTGTCTGCATACAAATGCGAGCACTTTGCGAAATTTGACAACTCGTCGATTGCGACCGCGATTTGGATTTGGACTTCCTAGCCACTATCAAAGGCTGAACACGTCCGGCTCGCACAAAGAAGCGACCAAAAAATATATGCACGACAAAGTCGAGCAGAATGTTGGCCCAGCGGTGCAGTGGCTATATAAAGCGCAACTGTGGCCCAAAACAGACATTATCAGTCCAGACTCATCCACTAGACAACCACAGCAACATGTTCAAATTCGTAAGTCTCCTGCCACGACCTGAAAACCACTTCAAATATTTGACTGGATGCACTTTGCCTCATTCCCACAGCTCATCATTGCCGCTCTCGTTGCCTGCGCCGTGGCCAAGCCGGGCGTCGTTGCACCACTCGCCGCACCACTGGCCTACGCGAATGCACCACTTTATGCTGCGGGCGGCAGCAGCCAGGTGGATATCCGCAACAACTATGATGGCACCCAATCCTCCTACACCACGGCACCCTTCGAGCTGACACCACCCTACTCCAGCCGCTATGTCTCCGGTATTCCAGCTGCCTATGCCGCCGCCGCCCCATACGCCGCTCCGTACGCCGCTGCTCCTCTGGCCTCGCCATATGCCGCTCCTCTGGTTGCACCATACGCTTCACCCTACACCCTTGGCTCACCCTTTGCCGCTCCCTATGCCGCTCCTTATGCCGCTCCTTATGCCGCACCCTATGCCGCTCCTTATGCCGCGCCCTACAGCTTCCCCGCCCCTGCTCCAGTTGTGGTCTAGACATGTCTTCAAAAAATTGTTTCCCTAGCGAATTTTTTATTAATAAAATCGTGATTTTAAACTAAAAACAATTTGAAAACTTTTTTATCAAATGCTTCTGACTGCAATATATACTCTTCTCTTCAGGTGAAAAAAAAAATGGTTTTGAATGTGGGGAAAAAATCTTCCCAATCCAAAAAAGGTTTCCTATATAGATAGTGGGAGAAATGGGCGTGGAACAGTGAATCAATTTATGAAACGGGTTTATACAAAAATCAATATACAATTTTAAAAATATATACAACTTTGACAAGCAGCCGCATATACCCCCTATATACCCTCTACTTGAAAAGAGCACTCTTTACGTTCAATTTATGTTGTCTGGCCGTCTATCATGTTTTGGCAATATTTTATTAAAATGTCATAATCGTTTTCCATTTTGGCCTCCACACACACACAACTATCGATTATATAAAATCGAGCGGTGCAAGAAGTTATTGGCCCCCTCAAGGCGCCATAAAAGCAAACGCGCCTTCTAAACAAATGCGACGACAACAAAGTCACGATTTGGGCCATGTTGCCTCAAGTCAGCAGTTACCTCATCCGCTGACCAAAAAGCCGTCAAGGGGCCACAAAGAGGTGTGGTGCAGTTGGGTGGCTCAACCGAAAGCAACCGAAAGTGAAGAAGTGCACGTGCAATTTGGCCAGTGGCCAATTAAGCCAGGCTTAAACAAACACTTGCACTATAAATTAATGGCTCCCGGCCAGTGTCAAACATTGTTAGCCGCGTCTTCGACCCGAGCAGTCGCCAGCAACTGAGCACAAGGACAGCACCACCCCCCAACCGCACACAAAAAACCACCAGCAAGATGTGGCAGCTGAAATTGGTAGGACTTTTTTGGCCAAGTGGCTCAAGGCAACAACTTAATAGTTATTAACTCTTTCTCAACAGTCTTTCGTTTTGGCTTTGGCTTTGAGCTGCGCGGAGGCCAAGCCCTCGCACCACTTTGATCATTTCGATCAGCACCTCAATCACTTTGATCAGCACTTGAACCACTTTGATCAGCACTTGAACCACTTTGATCACTTTGAGCCAGTGCATCAGGCGCTGCCGGATCACGTGGACTATGCAGCTCCTCTCCAGCTGCAGGAAACTCTGCTTCCGGCTCCGCTGCCGGCACCAGCCTGGCCCGAACCAGCTCACCTAGCTCCAGCGCCAGCTTGGCCCGAACCAGCTCACCTGGCTCCAGCGCCAGCTTGGCCCGCGCCAGCTCCGTTGGCACCAGCACCACTCTGGTCAGCACCACTCGCACCCGCACCAGCCCCTGTTTGGCCAGCACCAGCACCTGTTTGGCCCGCTCCTGCGGCACTCGCTCCTGCACCACTGCTGCCAGCTGTTCACGCTCATCTGCTGCCAGCGCCAGCACCACTGCTGCCGGCGCCTGCACCAGCCTGCCTGCCGCCGGCTCACGCTCATCTGCTGCCAACCACTGAGTGGCATTTGCCGACAGTGACAAAGGTGCTGCCGCCAGTGCTCGAGGCGGTGCCCTTTGCGCCCAGCTATCGTGCGACACTCGGACCAAAGCGCACCACACACCGCGTATCCATTGGCTACGCTTTTCCCAAGCTGCTGGCTGCACCACACGCCCATTTGCGCGCACTGCCACTGAAGCTAGCGCACCACCATAAACACCATCATTCGCTTTTCTAGGCTCTGTTCGAGTTGGAATTGGAATTGGACTCTGTTATTCATAATACTTTCATACATTGAACCACACCAAAGATGATTTGAGTCGTGTAGCAAATTATAAAATAATGTAAATTATGTATTTAAAGATAAATATAAAAAATGAAAACTTAACAGAAATTCTAATGTTGAGGGTAAATGAAGAGGGCAAAATGGGAAAGAGTACTGAAGAATTTCCATATTTTATAAAGACCTTCTTTCCTGCTCAACTAACTATCTTTAATTCTTTAATTCTATCTAAATATTTATTATACTGCATATATATTTAATTAATAAAACTGGCTATAATAATTCCAAATAATTTTCTTGCTGGCGTGTGTAAAATGCAGACAACACTTGCAAGCGACCAAATCAGGAATTCCAAACACAGAAAGTGACAGTTAACAAAGGGGGGCAGGGGGGGGGCAGGGTAAGAAGTGGGCCAAGGGGAGAGGGCGACAGTTGTACACGCGACAATTGCAGTGAAGAAATTGAATATTAATTATACAGGGAGAGAGGGAGAGAGAGAGAGAGAGAGAGAGAGAGAGAGAGGGAGAGGTGGGAGGAAGAGCCACCACACAGTGTGTCACGTCTGATAAATGTGGCTCATTAGTAGGTGAATATCGATGCCACCAAAGTAATATTAAAAACAAAAAAACGAAAACTTGCCCAACGGCCCGACCGAATGTCGGCCACTAGGCTGTGGTTTATATGTGTGCGTGTGTGTGGTGCGGTGGTGCGGGTGGTGTCGATTTTTTGGCGTGCAATTATGAAAGTGGGCGTCGCTAATACGTAACAGACGGCCAATTGATTATTAAGTACATTAAATGCCCTTCGCAGCAGAGCCTTATGTAGAAAGTCTTGCATGGATTTTTTCGATTGCTTTGGTATGCCCCACCACAACCACCGAAAACAGCCGCAACTCAGTCTGGCAGAATTATAAAAACGCCAGCAATTCGACAATTGGACATCAAAGCTTAGTTAGCACTCAAAGAAACCAACCAAATCAAATCCAAGCAAAATGTTCGCCAAAATTATGGTAAGTCGTCAGCTCCTTTCGCCCAGGATTTGGGTTTTAAAAGTGTGCTCCCTTTGCTCCCTTGCAGCTCGTTGTTGCTCTGTGCGTGGCTGGCGCCCAGGCGGGTCTTCTGCCCTTAGCCGCTGCACCACCAGCTGTTCCGCTGGCCGCCGCCAGCTTTGTGGCGCCCTATGCCTCCAGCTTCAATGCCCATCGGATTAACCATGCTGTGGCCTATCCGGTAGCACCACCTGTTGCTTTGGCTGCTCCAGTGCCACCGGCGCCAGTTGCGTTTGCTGCACCGCACAAGGTCGCCTTTGCTGCTCCTGCCTTGGCACCAGCTCCTGCTTTTGCTCCGGTGGCGGCTCCTCTGGCTGCACCTCTGCCCGCACCACTGGCCACGCCCTTCGGATTTGCTGCGCCCGCGCCTTTGGCCTTTGCCGCGCCCACCAGTTTTGGTCTGCCAGCTGGTGCACCTTTCGCTGCCCCCGTGCCCGCTCCTCTGGCAGTGGCGCCCAGGTACGCGCCCGCGCCCTACTTCTTCTAGATGTGATCCCGAAAATATCCTAGACTAAGCCCAACACACACACACACACTTAGGCCAAACTACAGACTAGAGAGCAAAATGCTTGGCGAATAAATTGTAAATTCACTTTATTTCAATGCTAATCCTAATCCTCGCCAGCGCTAGATCCGCACGCTCTTCACGTGCCCAATGCGCTGGAAGAGCGGCACATGCTCGAAGGGTGTGTGAGAAATGGGCACCGAATCGTAGGTAACATGCGCGATCTTCGTCAGCGGCGCCACAATGGTATAGCCAGGATGTTGTTGCTCCTCCCCCGTGGCGGGCGAATGATGATAAACCACCGCCGTGGGCTGGTGGTACACCAGCGTGGCAGCTTGTGCCTGATGCAGGGCCAACAGCAGCACGAGGATCGAGTGCCTCAGCCAAGAGATTGATGTACGCATTCTGAGAGAGCTGGGATGAACCGTTCCAGTTTCTGACTGCACTTCGACTAAGCGGAGGCTCGAGCGGCGGCTTCTTGAGGCCTGCTCATGTACAGTTAGAAGCTGCTGTCAGTGGGGCTGGTGGCATCTTGAACCGGTTGACGGCATTAACTGGCTGCATTTTTGTTGTCAGATCGGGAACCAGTTGCAACACCGCACACCCAGTGTTCCGCAGTTCACAATCTCCGATACTCCACTCACACGAATTCCCAAAACTCGTTTTCAAGTTCAAGTTTAAACAAGACGCGGATCGCCTGTTGTTGTTGTCATTGTTGTTGTTGTCGTTGTGTTTTTTCCAAGTGTCAGTGACTCTTTTGTCGAGCTTATGAATGTAATTTTAGTTTTTTTATTATACCCTGTACACATTAAAAAACTAGCTTAAATGTGAGTATCATAATCGTAAAGATGATCGCACGAATATAAAAGCGTAGAAAATTATTTTGTTGAACCCATAAAGTTTATCTCTGTGCACACTGACACACAAAACCAATTACTAATTACAGATAAAACCATCTCTATGTGCGGAAAATGAGTGGAAGTACGATTAGTTTAAATTTGAAGAACATCATTTGGTCTGGAAAGAACCTGATAAATATATATACAAATGTATATTGTTGAGTACGATCAAAAAAAATAAATATTTGCGTATGATCAAGATTTATAATTTTCCCATGTTCCGTTCCCTTGTAAGAAACCCTTAAGCTCTGGGCTTCTTAATGCTGAGAGATCAGAATATTTTATAAAATTGAATCGGTCTCATTTAATTTTGCCCAACTAGGTTTTAGCCTAGGTTTTCTTGAATATCCATTCACAAGTTTGTTAGCTATTCAATAATCGGATTCATACAATGCAATAGAAAGAAACAACTTTTACAGGGCATCTCCTAGTCGCGCACTCTTACATCTAGCAACGCGAGCTTCTTCTTGCTAACGCTTATAGTTAGTTAGTGACTGAGCTATTTTAGTAGGTTTTTAGTTGCCATTGTTTATTGGGGTTTATTGTCTTAAAAGACTCGCTGGTTGCCCAATCTCTTTACGATCGACAGTTCGGGCATAGAGAATTGATTGCAGATCTCTTTGTTGGATCTGCTCTTTATACATAAATTATTGCGTCACATGACTCGAATGCCCGGTGTGGCATAAATTGAGAGCTCATTGACCTTATTTTTAAGCATGAATTTAATTTAATTTGATTTTCTTTTTGTTTAAGTTGCGGTCAATCGATTCTAGCTGCAAAAGAAAAACGATTTTGTTTAGGCAGCGCCAAAAGTGGCCGCAGCCACGCCCAAAGCTGTACACTTAATGGGCGACATGTTGCCGCGTGGCGTGCGACTTGTCGCATGTTGCAAATTCAACACTTGCCCAATTTACGCATGCGTGCCGGTCCACATTGCGTATGAGCAATGCCTGATTGCTGCGATCGCACGCGAACCGGGTGAAAAGTCTTTGACCAAAAAACACACAAAGTAGATTAACAGAAGCAGCCACAAATGGTGTCCAAATGAGGCGCCCATTAGATCATCGACAGGCAGGCCCAATTTTGGGTGGCAGCTCAGCTGGTTCCTAGTTGCAGGCGTAGTATAAAAGACGCCAGCTTCGAGCAACTGCAGCAGCACAAGCCCAACAGAGCTTCTGGAGTAAATCACGTGGCTGGCAGACGCACAAGCTAACAGCAACAAAATGCACAAGGGAGTAAGTAGCCGCAGCAAGTCGATGCCATATAGCTAACCCATTCCTAATCCTGGCCAGCTTTTACTGCTGGTTGCAGTTGGATTAACCTGCTGTCTGGCAGCACCGGCGCCAGAGCCCGCACCGGCTCCCGCTCCCGCTCCCGCTCCCGCGCCGGCACCAGAGCCCAGTTTTGGACATGACTATCATCTCGGCTATGGCGGTCTGGGCCTGGGCCTGGGCCACTACGGTGGACACTACGGCGGACACTACGGCGGACACTATGGCGGCTATGGACTCGGCCTGGGCCTAGGCCTGGGCTATCATGCGCCCATCATCAAGACCATTGGCCCGCCCATCATTTCGAAGACCATCATTGGCAAGAGCTATCTGGGCGGCTACGGCTATGGCTTGGGACACGGCTATCTGGGCGGCTACGGACACGGCCTGTATGGGCATGGCCTGGGCCTGGGCTTGGGCCTGGGCTATGGCCATGGCTATGGCTGGTAAACGCAGCTTTAAATTGCCTGGGAACGTGTGAGAGTTGAAATCGAGTCAGTTTCGTCAGCTTTAGGTCTAAGCAATTAATCCAGCGATCAGTCAAACAAACGTATCAAATAAATTTCTAGCTCGCTCGCGAAGATTAATCCGAGTTTTTTGATCAAATACGAAATATAATTAATATTCAAATTCACTTTCTCTCAGAGGTTGACAATTTTTGACGGGCAAGTTTGCTGCCAACGAAACGAAAAGCAATAAAAGCAAACGATTTTTGGGCTGAGCCTCCCTACCAGCCATGGCCCAGGCTCAGGGCAGGAGCAGCATACGATCTATAGCCCAGACCCAGAGGAGCAGCGAGTGGTCCATGTGCCAGGCCGAGTGGTGCATGTGCCAGGCCGAGTGGTCCATGTGCCAGGCCGAGTGGTGCATGTGCCAGAGCTGGCGAAGCATAGCTAATCCTGGGTCCAAGACCATAGGCAGAGTAGGCGGGTGCAGCCAGTGGAGCGTGAGCCAGAGCTGGCGCGGCATAGCTATACCTGGGACCCAAGCCATACGAACCAAGCGAGGGCGCGCCCAAGGCGTGGCCATAGGAGATGGCCGGTGCGGCGGCCAAAGGCAAACCCGGACCCGCGGCCAAGCCACCCAAATAGCCAGGAGCAGCAGCAGCGCTGGCCAAGCAGCAGAAGGCGACAACGAACTGTGGGACGAGTTTGAGCCTAGCATTATTATTATTTGTGGAGGCAACTCCAGGTGGCACGACTTACGTATTTGAACATGTTGTTGTTGGAGAGTTGTTTGGCTGATTTACTCGTGGCGAGAACACAAAGTTTAATAATGCCTGCCAACTGGGCTCAAATGCTTTTATAGCCAAATCGAGTCAGGCCCAAAAGCCCCACGAGAACGGCCCAAACTGCACTTTTACTTTTGTTGGAGGCTGCGAAACCTCGTGTTGCACATGCAAAGTGCAACTCGTGGATGCAGTTGGCATCGGGTCTGTGTGTGTGTGTGTGTGTGTGTGTGCGTGTGTGTGTGTGTGTGTGTGTCGGGTCAGGCCCAGTTTATGCTGCTGCGTTGGAGACCCGCCCAAAAGTTGCCAACACGGCCAATGCGGATGTTTGGAATCATTTCTGCGACTCTGTTTATATGCCAGCTAAACATATATACAGATATATAAACAGATATATATCATAAAAATCTGTGTGTGAAAAAATAAATAAAACTAAATTGCATTTGAACGAGTTTCCGAAAACATTTAAGAACTGGTCGCTGGTGCGTGTTGCGCCCGAGATATTGTCTGATATTTATCTTCCAAGCGAACGGTTCGAGCAATGCGTAAATTGGCCATTTAGCAGGATTTTTTCAAGATTAAGTCTTAATTACAGCGTTTGCTTATAGGAAAATTGCTTTGTCGCTGCGACTCAGCTCTATGCACACAAAAGAATTTAAGAATTTTGAAAAAACTGAAAAAATCGCATGGGAAACTCACAGAACTTTTCTGATATTTAGTACAGATAGGCTAGCTAAGGACTTCTGAAGTAAACCTTTGACAAGTTCTCTGCATAAGCTGAAATCGGAGCTGATTTAAGGAAATTAGATGCAATATTGTATTTTAGCTGAGATGAAACTGTGGAATATTTAAAAATATTTCATCAGTATAGACATTAATTGGGATACATAAAAAAATATATATATCAGTTTGATCTAGAATTTAAAGAACATATTCTTGGTTTAAGGAAGCTCAACAAATAATATGAAAAGCTGAGAATATCTTATGATATTATATGCCTCTCTCTATAAAAACATAAATAATACCTTATATTATCAATGAGTGGAGGGTATATATATCTGAGACATTCCGATAACTCTTCCATAGCTCAGCTCTGATCAATTTTAAGGGTAAATCTTTTGCTTACCGAAAACATATCAACAAATTATGTTAACTCGATACTCCTCGAAATTTCGTTCTCCAAAAATATCTTAAATATATATCTTATATAAAAATAGCTTCAATTCTTCGAAGCTCTATCAACACCATGAAGTTCCCTATTTTTCGCTCAGTGTACTTGTCATAATGCGAGTCGTTGTGTTGATTGCTCGGGCCGGACTTCTAGATAAATTTTATCTAGGGCAGCCAGTTGTCGATAACCGATGTTTGTCTCGAGCCTAGCGGCTGGTGCAGCCGCCAGAGGCGTCGCAAGGTCAGCGTGAAAGAGGGGCATACGCCAGCTGCCCCTGCCCCTTTGTGGTGCGCCGCTGGGCAAGCACTTTAAATGTAATCATAAATTCAGAGCTATCAAATGCGAGCACAATGCAAATTGTTGCTGTAATAATTCTAATACACAAAGTTGTTGCTGTTGTTGTTGTTGTTGTTGTGGCTGACAGTTAATTGCCAGATACCCCTCCGCAGCAGCCCGCCCCACGCCCCACGCATAAATCAGACTAAAGTTTACGTAAACTTAAAAGCCCAAGATTTTAAAGTGCCCGCCGGCTACCTGCACCACTGCACCACATGCACCACCTGCCCGCTTGGCCACTCGCTACGCCCTGCGGAGCAACTCGAAATTGACTGCGTAAATCTTAGCTGCCTTCCCCCTCCACAACTCCTCCCGCTTGCAAATGGAAAGGCGCCCGGGTGACAATGGAGGTGGCCAACGCCAGACTCTGGGTAATTGCAGCGGGCTGTGATTATGCGTAACTTACGCCCAGGCAAAATATTTGCATACAAATGCGCCCGGCAAGTGGGCGAATATTTTGTATCATTTTTTTTGGCTACTTTGCGGGCACTGTAGCCGGTTTGTTTACAGTGACTGGGTACAGTGAGCGCCAAAAAATTAAATTCAATTAAAATTTTGTCACTTGTGCAACGCGTCGATTAAAATCGACCTTTATTGATGTCTGCACAAATTGAACAAGTCAGAACGGTTGGGCAGTTGCCTAATTGTTGTCACTGTGTTCGTTAACTAAACGGCAGCACTGTAGCCATTTAAAAAATAAATAGCTAGCAGCAGGAGGGAAGCTGATTAAAACGTGCGATCGCAGAGAAAACGAGTTGCCTGGGAAACATAGTCGCATTAAGCTATACCAATTATAAAGGCGTTGCTGTGGGCGTGGTCGATTCGCCCTGCAAGCAAATGAGCCGAGGCAAAATTTAATACCAATTTGTAGGCGTCAAAAATCATGCAAAGCGCACTCGAGAACTCGCCGAAAAACGGCATTTGATTTAATTTGCAATCAGCTAGACATTTAAACATTTAATGAAATGCATTTTCTGATGGCCAATTGGCGGTACCACGCGGCGTATGATTAATGCACTTGCCGCAAGGAGTGGCAAGGCCCATTCAATATTGATCGCTGAGATTTGTTCGCAAGTGGCGCCTTTTAATTAAATGCACCACAAGACAACAACAAGAACTACAAGCTAGAAGCGGCATGCTCTGCAAAGTTGTGGCAAGCTAGCAGCTGTTGCTGCCACACGCAACAAACGCGCCACGTTTCAATTAAAATCAAGCTAGCAATCAATGTCTTTGCATTGCCGCAGACGAAATACCCTAGACTTATTAATATTAATATTATTGTTATTATTATTACTATTACTATTATTTCTATTATTATAATTATTATTATTATTGCTGTAACTACATTATCATTATATTAACTGTCAGTATATAATATAGCTATATTCTTTTAAATAGAATAAATATTTCGTGCATACATAAGAAATTTGAACTCTGATTCTCCTTACACATCATGTTCAACAGACAATTCATTAGCTGAGGGCTGATAACTTCTAAAAAGTTCTAATAAAAAAAAACACGAATACAGATGATAAAAAGCAAATTTGTCAACAATAAAAATTTATTAATCTAAACAAGCTTTAAGACAAATGAGTAGGATCGAGTTTCAGAGAAGACTAAAATCAGAATCATTTTTCATAATGTATTTGTTATATCATAATTAAACGTATTTTTCATTAATAATGTGCCCTTATGTGAAGCCTTTCGTTTACACAATACTTAGTGTTCTTCATGCTTGAGGAACTAAATATACTAAAAGCACAATAAACAGAAATAAAAAACTACATTAAAAAGTATATTTTGTTAATCGAGCTTAAGGCTCATTCCATTAGAGCGTAGGCTTATAATCAGCTAATGCATTACAATGATAACAATGATAATTAAATCTAAGATATATTCTATTCCGATATCGCCGCTCTGTACACCCCTTGGACCCATTTTGATATGTGCAGGGTGTATTTAGAACAAATAGAAAACAGCGGAGAAAATAACAACATGACGAGTGCCAAAGGATTATGCAATGCTTCAATGTCATCGGCGATGCCAATGAACTGTAGAGGGACCAGCACGCAGTTGCATGTATCCGGGCTCCACAGTGCAGAATGTTGTTTGTTTGGCTTTGTGGCACGTGTGGCATGCAATATTGTGCTTCTTCGCACTGATTGGGGATTGCATTTTTAATAGCCTCATGACTCGACTTATTAACACGGCTCAAAGCAACGGCCTACCAATGTCTGCTGAGCTGTACCTGCACTGAATAATTCAAATATTGCCAATGCGCACGCACAAAAACCAGGGCCAAACACTTTATGCTGCTTTACTGCCAGTGCTTAAAACGATCGCAAACAAGGCCAACAAATCCTAACCAAAATAAAGCAAATCATTTGATATACTACACGATTATCCACATTCCTAACTCAAGAGCTTAGTCACTTCCGCCTTGGGCAAGCCGGAGCTGAAGCCAGGGGGGGAGGGGGGGATCAAAGCTGGCGTCAGCAGCTGCCTTCTGTGGATGCGATTATCATAATTTAACGCTTACCAATCCTCAGATCGGCCACAAACTGTTGGCTACTGTTTACGTGCCCGTCATTTTAACTTAACCCAGTTACAAGTACATATACTCAATGGGAGGCGGCTTCCAGCTGTGCATTTTAATTGTGTTGCACATTAAAAATAGACACCAAATGGGTGAGTAGGGGGGGAAGGGGGGAGTACTCGATGCGAAGGCGACAATTGGAAAAACACAAGCGAACGTCCTTGTTGAGGTCAAGTGAGTCCAAGGAAAAACGGCACAGATAATTAAGTAAACACTTGAATTACTTAATTAATTACTAAAATAAAAATCAATCGAAATATATTACGTTTTACGCAAAATGCATTTATTCAAACAATAATATTCCCTCTCTATCTAGAAAATCAAAATCAATAAAAACCAAAAAGATGAAACAAAAACCGAGTAAAGGAACAGGCTAAGCAAATGATAATTGCCCGAGAGGAAATTAAAATTGCGTGTAGTTAAATAGAATCAGGATCCAAATAGAAAATCCGGTCGTGGTTGACGTGGTTCAGTGGTTGAGTGGTGCGCTTAACGGTAGTAGGCGGCATAGGGATAGGCGGAGTATGCGGCGGCATAGGGATAAGCGGAGTACGGATAGGCGGCAGCGGCGGTGTAGGCGGCGGTGTAGGGCGCACTGTAGGCGAGTGGTGCAGCGGTGTAGGCGCTGTAGGCCAGTGGGGCAGCCACCACAGCGGGCTTGGCGGCGACGCAGGCCACAATGGCGAACAGGCACAGAGCGAACTACGATCAGAATTTGTTTATATAGAAAACACAATTAGACAATTCTAACTTCAGACTTACGAATTTGAACATTTTGAAGTGGTTTTTGGTGGTTGCGATTTGTCGAGCTGGCTGGCGAGCTGTTTGTTCTGAAGAACTTGACTGATGCCCACAGCTACAAATGCACGCACTTATATACCAAACGAACGGAGCCCTAAATGCACAAAGTTGAAGCCAAAAAAAACAGAATACTAATAATAATATTAATTATTATGCACGGCCAGGCGCAGCTCAGATGGATGCTCTTGCCTGCCAATTGAGCCGTCGTATAAACTGACGCCAAGGAGAATCTCAGCTACGAATTTGCACTTTACTTTTAGTTTCATTAGCGGAGCGGGAGGCGGGAGGAGGGGCAGGTCGCTGCCCAGCCAAACGCAATGAGTATTTTTAAAAGCGTGACGCAAAATGACAACAACAATAAAAACGATCAGCAAATCGAACGTCGCACGTGCTTTGCATACCACATGCGAGCTTGTTTGGGTTTCTGACCCACTCCCACTCCACAATTCCAATCCGACACGGACACCCAACACTGCCGCATCGAGTGAATTTATAAAGCTAAGCGACTGCGCTGCAGGCTGTTTCATTCGATCAGTGGAAAGCGCTTAGAACACACAAAAAAATGTATAAGAAATTGCTAAGTTTCAAGCGCAGCTCAACGGATAAGACGCACATGCTCCACGCCGAGCCGGAGCCCAGTTGCCGGACTACGACAGGTATTGAACGCCGCGTTGTGCTGCCCGCTGAGCCGAGTTGCTGTGCCACTTGCTGCCGCCGCTCGGATACTCCTGCCCAGTGCTGTCCAGAGGATTGCTCCACCTGTTGCCAGCTCTGCACCGCCGCCCTCGTGCTGCCCAGCTGCGTGGGCGCCATTCGAGCGCTGCAGTGCAACATTTTGCGGCAAGCGGCAGCAGCAGCTGGAGGAGAACCCCACAGACAACAACAAATGGCCAAACACAGCTGCTGTCAGGCGGGAAGCAGCTGGATTCCAGCCTCGGAATCCTTGACAAGACACAAATTGCAGATCGTTGCCAATACGCGTTGTTGTTGTTAAGTTTAAAATATACAAATGTTACTTTAGGGATATGTGTCCAAATATAACTATTAAATACTACTAAATAAATAAAATGAATATTGTGATAAAAGTTGAATTAAAATTACGACTGAAAAGTGGAAATGACAATATATTCGGGATCACCCATTTCCGATTATATGTAGAAAAAGATACAAACAGAACAAGAAGGTATCTACAAGGTTTCTCTTTATAATCAATTCATATCCTTATATTAGGAATGGCATTGTTGCAGGTAACAGGTTCTAACCCTCCCTTCTCTACGAAGCAATATTTCAACATTTTTTTACAAGTATCAATCAATTTTAATACTTTGGCACCTTCAAGGCCATCCCACAAATAGGTAGAAGCCAAGTCAAATGAACTTTTTGAACTCTTATGTATGCCTTAAGAAAAAGTATAATTCACCTTATGAAGGCAATATTTATTGAAGTCACAACCTTTTGTTCGTAAAATACTACAATCTAAATATTTTTAGAACGATATATTTTGTATGCAAGATTTTTCCGCTTTGAACAATAAACTCTAAATTAGAATTTGCATCTCGTGGCAGTCCGAGGGTTCTAACGCTTGTCGGAGGCTCGAACCAGAAACATAGAAGTTACCTGTCTAACAAATAATCAATCAAGAAGGAATCTAAAACAAAAGAAGTAAGATTCATTTGAAGAAGTCAACTTATGTGAAAGTTAAGCACAAATCCTGAATCTTTTTTCTTCCAGCGCAATCTTTAACCAAAAAACGTTTCTCTACAAACAAAAATCAAATCAAAGACACAAATCCTGAATCTTTTTTCTTCCAGCGCAATCTTTAACCAAAAAACGTTTCTCTACAAACAGAAATCAAAATCTTCCTTTGAGCAATTGTTTTTATTTAAAAAAAAAAAGTAAATGTCGACGAATCAAGCCGTTTGAATCAGATCAGAATCATTTATAGATATGTGTAGGCAGCGGAGGTGTAGGGGTAGCTATAGGGATAGGCTACGGGGGCGGTGTAGGCAGCGGCAACGGGGGCGGTGTAGGCGGCGGCAACGGGGGCAGCGGCTACAATGGGCGCAGCAGCGATGCCATTGTAATTGCGTGCCACATACTGCGAGCTGGTGGCAGTTACCACCGCAGGAGCGGCATCCACGAGAACCTGAGGCTTGGCCTCAGCCATGCTGCAGGCGAGCACGGCGCCGAGCACAACGATGACAGCAGACTGCAACAAATTAGGATTAACCAAACGAATAGAATAGGATTTCAGAGAAAAAACAAAACGCACCAGTTTGAACATGTTGAAATGTTTGTGGGCAGAGCTAACAAACTAGACTATGCGCTGGACAAAGGCGCCTGCATTTTTATAGCCCGAATGCGACAGTTTTTTTTTTCGCTTTGTTTTGATGTGTTCTACAGTCGCCAAATATTGAGAAGCAAGAAAATAAAAACCAAAAAAAAAATATAGACAAGGCGAGTGCCAATTGGACACCTCTGGCTACGTGCCCAGCAGATGAGCAACAGCTGGAACTGTCGCAGAGGTCTTTTATCTTCGGTATGTCGAGCACGTCCCCAAAATGTGAGTCCATAAAAAGTGTTGCGGTCCGTTTTGAAGGCAACCGCCCAAAAAATATATATGTATATACAAAACAGTAGCTGTTCCGATTAAATTTATGCGGTCAGTTAACTGACCTGCCCTTGTGGCCAGGCTAAACCCAACGCGAATGACTTTTAAATACTGGACATTGGGCATGTGGCATGTGGCATGTGGCAGGCGGGCGTTGCACGCACGCCTAATCGGATTGCATATATTGCATGTTTCAAGGTCGCAACATGACGCTGCAATTTACTTATGCAATCTTTTTTGGCCAGCCAATAGGCCACAGCGGCTGCCTGTGGCAATATGCTCTAATCTATGTTGCAGCATTGTTGGCCAAAAAAACGTTACATGAACGCGATTGCAGTAGAAACAACAACAAGTTGTCAATTTATCGTGGGATTGGAGCCCATTAAAGCTATCAAATCTGTCCAGCTTAAAGCGAAATATCTTTAATCATCCTTTTTAATATGTTTTATTTTGCCTTCTGATCTCTACCCAGCGAATAAATAAGGGAAGTAGCATGTAACTTATATGATCTTTAATAATCGAAGACGCAACAAAGCAAAAAAAAGAAAAGAAAAGAAAAACAATGCACAGGCCGACAATTTCTTATCGCCAGAGCTTATTAAATGGACTGAGAAGTATCTGAAATACATAAATGTGTTCTAGATTGAAAGTGCTCGACTTAAAGTTGACCTGCACAAAGAATCTCAATATTCCTAAAAGACATATTCCTCTTATTTCTTCCTCTAAGCTCACATAGAGCAAAGATTCTCAAACTTATATAATTATCTTTACTTAAGACCACAATTTCAATCATTGCTTTAATAATTATTCAAATTATAAGTTTAGCTTTACTACAGATTATCATATAAAGGTTTTTTTGCTTCCCTGCCCTCAAGTAATAACAAGAAAAAGGAAATTATCACTCCCAAAGATAAACTTCTCTGTCAGTTGCATACATGCGCACAATTTGAGCATACCCTCCTTAGTTATTTTCCAGGGCATTAAAAGGAACGACAATCTTAAAATATATACACTCTATATATGTATGCCATTCCTTGCTTTACATGATTGCATTTCTGTAATAGCTGACAAAAATGCTTTTGCAGTTTGCGAAAAGTTGTCGCTTCGCGCGGTTCACAATGCGTATACGTAATGTTTGGCTCCTGCTGGTCGTGCTGTTCGTGCTGTCGTCCCTGCACAACGATCGTGCACTGGCTGGGGATGTCTATCTGAACTGCGACGAGTTCGAGCAGCACATGTACATGGATCCCAGCGAGGCCTTCTGCACGGTGACCGGCTTCATAGTGACCCACAGCCAGAATGTGGTGGTGAAGAGCTTTCAGCCCGGCAATATGGTCAAGTTCATGAAGTTCTACGATTCGACGCTGCTCTATGTGCCCTTCCATCTGTTCGAGACGTTCACCCATCTGAAGACCCTGGATGTGTCCTATACGAGCATTCTGGAGCTGACGCGCAATACCTTCAGCGCGGCGAGCAACCTGACCTACTTGAACTTGAGCTACAACAATTTGACCTCGGTGCAGACGTCCGTGTTTATCGGAGCTAATGCTCTAATGCGTCTGGATTTGTCGTACAACAGGATATCGCAGCTAAGTGAGAATGCATTTTGTGGATTGCACATACTGAATAAGCTGCAGCTGACGGGCAATCGTCTCAGCGAGCTGCACAAGGACATCTTCAAGGACAACGAGTTGCTGGAGTCGGTGTCGCTGGAGAGCAACGCCCTCACCTATGTCCAGCCGGAGGTCTTCAGTCGCATGCGTCGCATCAAGGAGGTCAATCTGTCCAATAACAAGCTAATCCACGTTCATCCGGACACATTCACGGAGGCCGCCAGCCTGGAGAGCCTGCTGCTGGCCACTAACTCGCTGAACACCTTCCAGCTGACCAACAAGAGCATCGTCCACCAACTTCATTTGGACTACAACCACTTGACCAATCTCACCGTGAATGCCACCCGCTTTGTGCGCGCCAATTACAACAACATCAGCTCCATACAGATGCACCAGGCACTGCAGCTGGAGACACTGGAGCTGCGCGGCAATCGGCTGGCCAGCATTGCGAATATAACCAATCTGACAGCCCTGCTGCATCTGGATCTCTCCTACAATCCCATTGGACCTCTGAGTGTCAGCACTTTTGATCAGCTGAAGCGGCTGCGCAATCTTTACCTGCGCTCGACCGGAGTCCGCGAGCTGCAGTTCGGCATGTTCTCCAAGCAGAAGTATCTGGAGATACTCGACCTGTCGTTCAACAACCTGACCAGCCTCAATCTGGATCTCTTCGTGCCCTACCTGGCCAACCTCAAGCAGTTCTTTGTGGACGGCAATGCGCTGAGCGAGGTGCAGGGCAATCGCAGCTTCGCACAGGCCTTTCCGGTGCTCCAGAAACTGGGCATCTCTCGCAATCGCTTCAACTGCTCCTATCTGCACCATCTGCTCATACCGCCCTACCTCACCGACACGGTGACCCTGCACATTGAGCCCGACGACAGCACGGACGAGACGCCGCACATACGGGACGTCTCCTGCATCAGTCTCTCGGCCAGCCAACAGGCCGCGCAACCTGCCGCATCGGTCGCCCTCGAGGAACCCGTGCTGGCGCTGCACAAGCAGCTGGAGCTGTTGCGCGCCCACTCGCAGAACCTGGAGCTGCACTTGCTCTTCATGAAGCTCTTCTTCTATGCCATTGGGGTTTCGATCCTGGTAGCTGCGGTGGCTCTGGTCACGCTGCGCGTCCGCAAGGTGCGACGCTCGGGTCGATATAATCGCAGCAGCATTGTCTTCCAGTCGACCGCCACAATGGACGCGAACCTGAATCTGTGAGTGGCCTAGCCTAATATTTAGCATAAGCCAAAAACAGAGCCCTAAACTTAAGATATAAGAATTGCGATTTAAAAATAAACGTATGAAAAGACTTCAACCCGGAAATCTTTAGAGCTTTGACTTCAAAAAGGGCAAAACAACCAAATGGCGACAGATAAAAGACGCAAAGACCTCGACACAAACTTCCTGCTGGCGGCTGAGATAAGCGCCAGGCAAAGACCTTGAACTGAGCCCGACAGCTCCGGCTATATGGAAAAGATAAAAGTGCAGAGCAAACAATTCGATTCCGAGTTTCAGTTTTTCATTTATTTATATTCAGTTTTCGCAGACAGAGAGAGAGACGCAGAGATATATTTGATATTTGCCGGCGGGATTTATCTACTTCCGGAGCAGCAGAGGAGCTGCACTGTAGGCGGCAGCATAGGGCGAGGCGATGTACGGTGATGCCACATAAGGTGAGGCAACATATGGCGATGCCACATAGGGCGACGATACGTACGAGGAGGCCACATATGGAGATGCCACATACGGCGATGCCACATAGGGCGACGAGTAGGCCAGAATTCCGGGTTTGGCAGCGACGCAGGCAACCAGAGCGAGCACGGCGAGGACAACAAACTTGAACATCTTGATGGATTTGGTTGTAGGGCTTGAGCTGCTTGTAGAAGTAACTAAACTGAACTGATGATTAAAGCTGTTCGCGTTGGGGCTTTTATACAGCTAGACAGGCAGCTAGCCAGGCAGCTGGCTAATACTAGGTAGAGCCTTGGCGCAGAATGCGTGCCAGCCCAGCTAATGAGCCAAACGGAGCTGAAGACACACAGCTCGAAAAGACTCGACCACATAGTATTGTTAAAGCCACTTACGCATATAACTGCCAATTGGGCTGGCTACGTGCGCTGCCTGACAATTGGCCAAGAGAATACGTCGCGCAAGGTCTTACCAATTTGCGTATATAAGCTATGGCTCGGCACTCGGTTGAGCATCAGTTACAATTCGTTTCAACGACAAGTCAACCAACAAATAAAACAAATATGTTCAAGTTCTTCGCTGCCGTCCTCCTCGCTGTGGTTGCCTGCGCTGCCGCCAAGCCGGGAATTGTTGCACCACTCGCCTACTCCGCCCCGCTGGTGGCTGCAGCGCCTGCTGCTGCTGTCTACAGCACCGAATATCATGGCAACTTTGCGGCACCCTATGTGGCATCGCCGTATGTGGCCTCACCCTATGTGGCATCACCGTATGTGGCCTCGCCCTATCTGGCATCACCCTATGCTGCCGCCTACAGCGCAGCTCCTCTGCTGCTGAAGAAGTAGACAACCCTCTCGAATTATCTGGAACTGCGAATCACATCTTATGACAAAATAAAAAAAAAAATCGAAAAAAATTGTATTTAAATGTCTTTTACAACTGCAGCCTAAAAGTTTGCTAGACTTTTTCTGCTCCCCTTAACCCTTAGGTCAGCCATTGAAGGTGTTGGTCGACATAAAGTTGAAAGTAAAGGCTAGGTTAAGGGTTAAATTGCCAAAGCCCAAACGATCCACAACCTTGTGATTGTGATTGAATGGCCAATTTGGCTTCTTCTGTTTCTTGGACGTGTTGACGAACTGCGGACTGGTCGTCTGCACCAGGTGAAAGAAGGTGTACATCAGACGCTGTACGTCGCGAAAGAAATCCTTGGGCTCATACAGCTTGCTCTGCGCATCCTCCAGCTGCACCCCGCCGGCGTCCTTAGACATTGGCAACGTGTCCAGGGCAGCTCCGAGGCGGGGCGTCAGCACATACAAATGAAGGGTCCAGGCGCATCTGAGCTGCAGCAGCGCCACGCCGATCCACAGACAGGGCCAGAGCCAGAACTGTGCCGCAAAAGATGAAGCTCTACAGAGATGTGTGTGTGTGAGGCAAGAGGACGCCAACTTACTGGCCACATGATGTTCGCCTGGAAGGCTATGGAATAACTGCAGCAGCTAGAGATAAAGCCTGCCACTTTTATAGCCAGACCCGCCCAAAAGAAAAGATATATATGCCGGCTATTTTCCAATCAAGCTCAAACTATTTTATTTCAGGCATGCAGATGGACACATCTAAGGCTGCCGCCGCCAGCTGTAGGCCTAAAGCCAGCCATGACCATGACCATATGCGCCGCCATGAATGATGGGCCGCACAATGTGGTGCGTTGGCCAAATTGGACGCACCACATGAACCGACTGCTGCTGATGCGGCAAGATGTGGTACGACGTGGCGCTGCCCAGGATAGGCGTTGCATGCAGCAGGCCAGGCGCCGCACAGGCGATGGCCACGCACAGTGACAGCAAAATAAACTGCCAAAAGGATTTGGTGGTATTAAAGCGCAAATTATGACAGGCTCAAACCTACCAGCTTGTACATGTTGGGGGCGTTTGTACTATTAACTCCGACTCGTAGATGCGTAGAAGCTGCCAGAAGACTTGTTGATTCGATGCGCTGTCTGCGGCATTTATATAACGAGTGGCAGCTGGCAAGTGGCAAGTGGCATGCAACCCAGCAGACGACCTTCGCGCCAATATGTTGGGCGGCTTTGTTTGGCTTTTGGCCAGCTCGAATTTCGCAAGTGAATGACTGAGTTTTCGGCTTGAATTACCTCTAACTCTTTAACCGCCAGCCAAACTTGCCACTGGGTCGCTGCGCTTCTCGAGCTGCGGCTTTAAAAAACGCGTACGCGCAAGTGCACTCGAAAAAAAAGGGGGCCCGAATTGTGCAATTGTGCGTATTCATTTTAATATTCACAAATTTTATAATTTTCATTTTGAGAGCATAAATTAAAGAAACTGAATTATGCAATCAAAAAAAGGGTGGTGAAAACAGGACATTTTCCCTGTGGGAAAAATATCTGCTTTTCCCATATGAATTATTAATTTAAATACAGAATTAATAAACATATTTAAATGCAATCACAGAGGTACGCAACTGCCTTTTGCACACCCTTTTCTTCTACCCTTTCGCCCCTCAAAATTTAAGGGAAATGCATTATTGATTAACTTCGCCGATCATAGTCCAAATTTAATAACAATTTTCACAATTTAAATATGACACACAAAAGCATGTACCAGAGCGCAAAGTTGAGATCTTTAAGAAGAAGATTTATTCCAATTTTTTGGTAAGAAGAGTGAGAGGTCTTCTTAATCTGTGCATTGTTTAAGAGAGCCTGACACACCGAATTTGATGTATTGAGTTCTTTTATATATAGATAGATAAATATTTAACAATATTACGAAATGACGAAATGAATTTAGTTCATAAACATATATAACACAGATAGATAGATATATTACAATATTACGAAATGAGATATGAGAGTATGTATTTCCGATTTCAATTTGAATACCAGCAAAGAAATTGAATAGCACATAATACAACTTCCAATAGGAATTGCGATTTTATACTCTGATCCGATTTAGACCACAAAACTGAAACAGAGCAGCTACGCAATTGATTTCCATCAATCAGAACAAAAACAACAACAAGAAGTGCTGACCGGAACTGGACAAAATAGGAAATACGTCGCAGATATATTGAATAATAAGTATTATATACAATGGGCATTTAGCATTAATTGCTGTTTGCGTAGGAGTTTGTTTTTGGGCCTACCTACGGCTAATGCCGAAAGGACCAAAAATGCAAAACAAAGCGCTGCGCACTTGGGAAACTTCGCACTTCGCACAAATTGCGTCCAAATTCAAGGGCAGAAGTGTAAATATACGCCCACGGCGCAAAGATTGGGCTGACCTTGAAATCTATCAAAGCGAAATACCGGAAGTGCTGACAGCCTTCCATCCCCCATCCCCCGCCTTTCACTTAATTGTTTATTTTGGCCAACGACAACTGCAAAACAAAGTGCAAATGGCCCAAAGATGTAAACAGCAAATGGCAAAAGGAAAAATATTTACCATTCACCATGTGAAGAACTCTAGAACGAGAGATTGGAGGAGCTGGCGAGCCACCTTCGAGTGCTGAGCAGGAGGAGGAGGAGGAGGAGGAGGAGGAGCAGCCTATGTTGCATGTTGCCTCTATTTATGTGGCAGCTCGTTTGGGCTTATCTTGTCAGACGCGCACGACGATCAGCGCTCAATCTGGATCTGGAGACGGGCAAACAGCTCGTTATGCTCTATAGCCAGCAGAGAACATTGAGGGTATATGCGACTTGAGCAAATTATGCTAGCAATATCTATAAAGTGCGCATATACCAAGCCCAATAAATAAAATCTTTGCCGAAGGTTCGAACCCATTCTTTGTGAACCCGACTTTCCACATTCGTAATCGCAGCTTCTGGTTCACAAATATTGTTAGAATTTTAAAGAAATAATTCCATTTTTGGCTTGTTTCGGTTTTCAAGCCCCCAGAAGTGTATAAATCTGTCGCAATCTCAAAGCAAGGAAACGTTGCGTATAATAGGAACTTAAAGAAGGGATATAAACTTAATAGCAGAGTATTGTGCAGTGCCAGGCACTGCCTGCGCCTGTCACATTCGGACTTGTTGTGCTTTCTGGAGCCTGGATTCTTTGGGATTGTATTCTTTGGACTGTAGTCAATCGATCTGTGAAGTGCAATTGCAATTGCAGCTGCACTCAAGGGGCTTCTTTCAAATTGCCGCTGCAAATGCCTTTGACCTTGGCCAGCAGCAGCAGCAGCAGCTAGGAGATCGGACAATGGGAACACACAGCACAGGAGGCTCGACACAGCACAGCCTATAAAAGGCCGCCCCGGGCTGCAAATGGTATTCAGTTTGTGCTCACTGGAAGACCATGAAGCTGGTAAGTGTTGGCGCTGTGACAGCCAGAAGAAGGTTCTCCGAGATACTCTAACACAACTATTTGCTTGCAGCTCATCATCTTTGCCTGCCTGCTGGGCCTTGTGCTATGCCACGAGATACTCTATACGCCCGGCTATACCAGCTACTACACCTCGCCCGGCTTAGCCTATGCACGCCACACTGGCGCCGTCCTGCCTCTGGCCTACACCCGGCTGATCCAACCGGCCAGCCAGTCGCATGTGTACCACAGCGTGGAGACGCCCAACTCCTATCAGCAGCAGTATCGCAGCGACTACAAGCCCCTGACCTATGAGTATCTGTTCTAGGGGGAAATAATTAAGCCTGAAATTTGAATAAAGTTTGTCAGCCTCACAATTCGCAATTGTTTGAAAGCGTTAACCTGGCCATTGTCCAAAGTGATCCAAGGGCGTCACAACAATTTCCCTACCACCAAGAGTGTCTTCACTCTGGTCTATTGAACTGCGTCCAGCTATTGGCCCCGCCGCAAGCGTAAACAATTCAAGACGAGAGATCATCCACAATGGCACGCAGTTTTAGCCATATCGGATGACCTAACCGCTCGGACGTGGCACCTTGAACCCAAAGTCCAGAGCAGCGTTTAAAATAAATCTGGCAGCATTGAAACCCTTTCGTGGGCGCTTGGCAAAACCTGCCAAATTGGGGCGTGGCACACGTCAGAGCCCAAACGGGCTCTGCACATGGAAGCCGTAGCAATGGCAACAACTGTTGCCGGTCTCCAACAAATCCGGCGGAAAGCTACAGACGCTGCTGTCACAACTTTTTATTTTCTATTTTTTTCTTTTCATTTTTTGCAATGGAAACTTTTGCGTTTGAGCACGTTGAAAAACGTGACCCGACGCTGGTCACATGGATTCGTGGGTGTCCAGCTGAACGAACTTGGACACAAATGCGTACGCAAATTGTACACGGAAACCAGACAACCAACCGAATCGACTGGCAAAATAATCGCATCAATTAATTAATGTTTGATTGGTTTCTATACACTGCCACAAGTAATTAGCAGCAGTAAAAGGATCTAGCTATATTTGAAGGCACTTTGAGGCTCTTTTTGAGGAGAACGGAACGCAATTATCCATATAGTTCCCTACTAATTGACGAGGGGGAAATATTTTTGGTGCTCGTTTTGCTGACCTTTGCATTTTTAATTATTTTAAACTGGATTATTTCAACTTTATTTTAATAAACCCGGAGCCAGCCAGTGAAATAATTAAATATTTTTGCTTAAAGACTAATAAATGTGGATTAATTTATAACAATTGATTTTCGCTTTAGTTTCTGATCCAGATTTGTTTCTACGCTACGAAAAATTCAAATATTTAAAAATCATTTCCATTGTCGTCAAAATTTAAATCCGAATTACCTAACAAACTTTTCACCGAGAATTCTTTTCTTTTTTGCCTTAGTATTCTTATAAGGAATGATGTAATGCACTTTAATAAGTCTAAAAAATATATTGATTAATCAAACCCTTTTAAATATTCTTTAAAGTGAATGTTAAAAGATGGCAGAGCATTTACCTGTCGTCTATTTCTACATACCTAGACATGACACTTGCTTATGAAACATGAGTCGAGTCCAGACAAACCCTATGCAAAGCATTAAGAAATTGTTAATTTCAGTTATTAGCAGATAGAACAAGTTCGCGGTATCAGTATCACATAGCTAAACGAGTTTAACTTTACGCTTGGGCGTGGCTGCCACAACAAGCTGATGAAGATGAAGAAGAACAGAACGTGCAGAAAGTTCCCGATGGACGACAACAACAACAACAAACTAAGTCAATTAAGAGCATGCACAAATGTACAATCAAGTTTCAGAGAGAGCTGCAAACCAGAAACGGCCCACAGCCCAACCAGGTATAAGCCAGGTATAAAAGGAGCACAGGAGTGCAGCTGCCACAGCAAAGCAAACAAGACGCGGGCAGCGAGTGGACACGAACTGTCAGCTAGAATTTCCATAGGAAAGCCATAAGGAAACAAGTGCAGAAAATGCGCAATTGCGTTTGGGTAGGCAAATCCGCAGCTCAGTTTGAATTGGATTTCTAACACTTTCAATCAACATTTGCAGTTGCTGCTGCTGCTGCTAATCTTGGCCAGCGCCAAGGCCAAGCCGCTCGTCTCCTTCGGCCTGGGCGTGCAGGCGCAGAGACCGTATACAAGTACCTATCTGCCGGGAGAGACGTACTACAACAACTACTATGGCATAGCTGGACCAGTTCACCATGATGGCGCCTACAGCAGATACCCCACGGGCTATCCGTACGCCCAGCCCTATCCGGCCACGTACTCGCCCGGTCAGCGCTTCGGTGCGGCACTCGACATTGGCATTGGGGCCTTGTCGCTAACCCCGTTTCTGCTTTGATGCCGCACGCACAGCGGTTGGCAAATCCATCCGTCGACTGCAGCAGCAGCTACTGTGAAATTGGCCAATCTAATAAACACAAAACAAATAGGTTCGTAATGCCTTGTACTTCAATTTGCCATTGGCCAAACGCAATGGGGCGCCTGGCGCTTACCTCCTTGCCGAAAGCCAGCCAATGTTGAGCTCCACACGGAGCGGCATTCCTGGTAGCTCTAAGGAGCAACAGGTGACCCAATCGCTGCTACGTGACATGGCCACACATTTTCCGCCGGATTCGTATAACCTTGGCTTTGCGTCACTAGCAAGATACTCTATATATGCTTTCAGTGGGTATTACAGACTTCAAACGAAAGGGGTAAAGCATAAAAGGAGAAGTCTTGTGGCCCATAAAGTATATATATTCTTGATCAATATCCATGCGTCTCTTAGAAGCAATGCTATCGTCCAGCTTTCTGTGATAGTCCAAATTAGCCGGATCGGAACACTATATCAAAAAGCTGTCATCGTTCGGAAGCTATGTTCTTGTCCCAACTTGTCATTTAGAAGTTGCACTGTGCTCCTTATATAAAAAAAAAAATCATAACATCAGATTACAATATCGTTTAGATTTTTAAAAAGAATCGCTCGAAAAGTCGGGTTTGTATGGAAAAAGTTTCTATTTTTCAAGATATCCCCTTCAAAATTTTGCAGTTCCGAGCTTTACTTTTTGTATCAAGTCGGACTAGAATAGTATATGGTTCTTATAGAATATAGAATCGATCGCCAGTTCTTTCTTGTTATAAACACACTGTTCTCTAGAAAAGAGCACAGTGTAAGAGCTTGATAACTTGCCTACCTATAAACCTTTCTACTATTTATTTTTGCCACACCCACTTCTGCTGTCGTAGTCCAAAAGGCTTTTCCAGCAGTCGCACTCTTAACAGAGTATGCCGCAGTCGTGTGCTGCCCTCTGCCTAGCTCTAAGCTCTTAGCAATGCTGCAAAACAGGACCTAAGGACAAAATGAGAACTTAGCTAAGGTATGCCTCACTGGGCTAAGTTGCAAGACGACTACGTCAATTGAAACTATTTATGGGTACTCGAACTGGACTGCCGCTGTCCATGCCCATCAGCAACAGAAACAGCATCATCAGCAGCATCATCAGCAGCATCATCAGCAGCATCATCAGCAGCAACAGCAGCATCATCAGCAGCAGCATCATCAGCAACATCATCAGCAGCAGCAGCATATGCTGCAGCCAAGGTGAGTGCGACGTGTGCCTGCAACGTGCTGAATGCAACTGGAGCTAAGCGAAACAAAACGTGTTTTAGAAGGAAGTTACAAAAATCTGCTGGCCATTAGCCAAAAAGACTCGAAATGAGTTTATACGCATTGAAAATTTGTTATGTAGGTCTCGTATAGTACACATATTAATATTTGACTTTTAAATATTTCCCGAATGTTCCTTAAAATTAAAAAAAATATAGTAGTAGGGTAGATTACATAATTTCAAGGTAGAGCTTTGCGTATTAGTATATACACATTTGTGTGCCATATTTAAGCCCTAAAACTTTCGTTAGTATCATATTACAAACAACGAAATTATACAGAAATCTATTTCCCCAGATGTGAGCCTCAGGTACAGGCAAGAAGTGAATGCGTACTTTAATGTATTTATGTGTATGTAGCTGTATCGTGCAGGATTTCCTTGAATTATTACACATATTTTATTTTTATATTTTTGACAAAGTACAAAATGGATAAGCAGAGATGTAAAAATACCTTTCGCAATTATATGTCTTTCACAACTGTCACGCATTCGGATCTTTGTAATTTACCCACAAAAAATATTTAAACTTTGTCTATTTCCAATTTATATACAAAGGAATCCCAATTATCCTTACACTCTTCTCACTAGTTCGAACATAAAAACTGCCAATATAAACATTTTAAAGCTTCTTTATATTGCTCAGAAAATAATTCTAATTTTGTGAACTTTTTTAAAAGTTTGCAAAATAACTAAAATTTCAATTATTTGATTATTTTCAAATCATTTGTATTTAACATATTTTTTAATTTAAACTAAAAATTCAAGTTCAATACGAAAGTTATGCGGCTGCATAAAAAAATACTCTCATATCAGAATCATAATTTATCGAGAAGAGCCCCAGTCAAAGATAGTCGAAATGGCAGATGAATCAATTGGGGATGGATCCTAGATAAACCCCAATTTGGGTCATGCAAGCGCCATGCCACAGCGACAATCGGTGCAGCCGCAGCTAACAGGTTTCGGTGGCAACTATGTGGTGCGGCGTGTTTCACGTGAGCCACGGCAGCTGCCGCCTCATTGCCAGGTGAATGGCGAAGGCAGGCGGATGACGTGCAAAAGTCACGTTCTCAGTCACACAGGCAACCAAAGGGTGAAAGCTCAAAATTGCAACGTCGTTTGATTTTCTTTAGCCAACAAAAAAAAACGGGGCAGGGGCAGCAATCACGTTGACGAATGAGGCAGGCATTCGAAACATCCAGCAGGCAGCAGGCAACAGGTTGTGCGGAGTTTACGTAAATATTGTCGAGAGCCAAGGCAAAGTGGAAACTGGGATAAGAGATGCTGCCGCCGCTCACGTTGTGGCTGCCACGACAGCTGCACGGGCACTGCTGCTGCTGCTGCTGCTCGAGCTGTGGCAGGCGCAGCGCACGAAGTGTCCTCGTCCTCGTCGTGGTGGCGCAGCAGGGTGTGGCCGGGCGGGCGGGCAGCAGCGAGCTGTACGAAGGTTAAACGCGAAGCTTACGAGCATCAGTCGACATTGACTGCAGCTATAAAAGCGGCAGCAACAACGCCTGCCCCAGCAGTTAATGCCAGGACACGTCGCGACACGCAGCATTGCAACTAAAACCCAACAAGCGGACTTGAAGTGAAATTCAAAAGAATTTAATTGAAAAAGACTTTAAGAAAACAGTTGAAATTCATATAAGTGAGAGAAACGTGATGGATACGCTATCACCGAACAATTGCTCCAAGTCGAGCTCCAACTCCAATTCGAGCGGCAACAGCGCAACCAGCTCATCCATGGATCTGGGCGATAAGCAGGCCAAGCAGCCGAAACGTGGCTCGCGCGGCCAGAAGCTGTCCAGATCGCGCAGTCTGCTGCAGTTGCTCAGCAGGCATCTGGGCCGTCATTTCCAGCATCATCATCACCAGAACGACACCGTCTACAGCAGCCAGGATGATATACGCAGCTCGGCGACGGATCTGTTCAGTCTCAGCAATTCGCGCAATGATTGCCTGCAGGTGCTCAATGGCGGCTCCAGTCTTGATCTGGAGCACACCTCACGCACATCCTCGGAATCGAGTTCCCCGGGTCTGGAGTTTTACGATAACAATGCCGAACACATCTACGTGGAAACTGTTTATCGACCCGGCAGCGCCATGGATCAGCTGCATCCAAATCATTATGACGACAGCGGCAGCAGCGTTGACGAGGATGAGAATGACAATGAGAATGAGAACGAGAATCTGGAGCACCTCAAGCCACAGCCGGAGCCGCGTTCTGCCTCGGCCGCATCGGCTGGCGTCAGCAACAAGACTTCTGGCCTGCATCTGAGTCGCATCTCCATCTCCTCCTCAGTTAGCCGCATGCTGCAGCATTTCTCCACATCGGCGGCCACAACGGCAACGGCATCGCTGCGCTCCTTGTCCTGCAGCAGCACGCCGCGGCGACAGCGCAAAGTGTCCGCGCTGATGAGGGGCAAAAAGTTACTGATGCCGCACAACAGCAACAGAAGCAACAACAGCAACAGCAGCTGCAGCAGCAGCAACAGCAGCAGCAGCAACAGCAGCAGCAACAGCAGCAACAGCAGCAGCAGCAGCAGCTCATCAAAGTCATCCAAAAAGGACAAGAAGCAGCAGAGCATACTGCGACCTCCAGTGCAGTATGTTTACATGAAGGGCATGTCCGGGCTATACTCGCGGGTGCCCAGCTACGCGGTCTGCTGCCCCTACACGCTGCAGCACAGCATGTATTAGGCGAACGGACGGGCGGACAGACGGGCGGACGTCATCGCGGCGAGGACATTGGCCAAGACAATGGAGCAGACGGCGATTGCGGGTGAAGGCCAACGTGGCCAAAGGTGTTAATGGCCTTAAAGTCTGGTTATGGGTGGGTGGGTAGATTATAGTGAAAAGTGATGTAGTGCCTAAAAAAACAAGCCGACAGCAGCTGGAAACGGCTAGATAGAGCGTGCGGAAATGCAGCAGCAAAGCATATTTTATAAATGTGTGTTAGCCAAAAAAAAAAAACAAAAAATAAGAACTTAAAATTGTACAACAAATTCGATGTATTCCAAATATATAGATATAGGGACTTTCAGTTTACACAGTAGCTAAAGCTTAGTTTTATTTAGTATTAAACCCCAGATCCACACACACACATATCTTCCCCCAAGTAGTTTTTAAACTTTGACTCAACTTATGGAGCTAGGCTCGAACAAAAAACAAAGAAGAAAAAATCTCGAGAAGTTTGTTATTTCAATATACTTTGCACTTATTTCAACGGGCACTTGACTAGACAAAATTACGAATTTATTAAAAAAAAACAATGAAAACTCTTAAGAAAAAAATATTAAATTTAAAATCCAAATTGTACAAAAAAAAACAAAACACTTGAGTCGCCAAAAATGTTTAATTATTTCCAATTCTAACAAAATATTTCCAAACACACACAAAGAGAAAAACACGCAGCGCATAGCAAATTGTTTAGCAACTAAGTAAATACCCTATATTTTTAGAGCATATAACCTTAAGCATAAGACTAGCTGTCAATAAATAAAGCAAAAATCAATCTAAACAAAACTCAGCCGAATTCTTATTTCCAAATTCGCAATTAACGGCCTTTTTTTGGAGCTTTGCGGACAAAAAGTTGCGAGGCCAAAGCTCTTCGAGCCGAAGGTGGGGCCAGTCGTGCGCCTGCGTCTTGAATCGTGCCACACGTTGCACAGTGTCAACTGTGCCCTGGGAACAGTTGCGTCTGTGTCGCCTTGTGCGCCGCTTGCTGATGTAGGTAAGGTCCCCAATTTTTCCAACTAGCTGAAGGACTCGACCTTATTGTTTTGACATACGATATCATGTCTGCATAACGACTACAACGATGACGTTAATCGCCAGACACAGATGCTGCTGTTGCATGCAGCATGTTGCAAGTTGCGCTTGATGCAAATGCGAGCAATTCAAATTTTGATGAAGCACAACTAATCCCAGTGGCCTCTCGACTGTTTGTGAAACAAGCCTTGGAGCTGCTTAAGTTGGTTGTTGATATGACAATATGCGCATTTCTGTATATAATTGATAAGATAGGGACCCGGCCTTGCCCGGCTCACGTTTTTTGCCCCAAATTTTAGACATCAATTTTTCACCCAACCGTACTAGCTTGACATGGACATTTAAAACTAAATTTAAACTCCATTGAATTGGGAATCAAGGTAAATTTTAGAGAAGACTAAAATTAAAACTTGGTTCCGCTTTTCTTTTTTCATTCAATTTGGGAAAAGTGTGAAACACATATCAAATGAATCCAATGATCTTTAACAATTGATAATTATCAAGAAATAAGCTAGCCGATAAACAAAAGTAATTGGCATACAACCAATTTATCACAGTTGCGAGTGGAATTTCCAATTTCATATTGATTAAGTTCTTATGTAGGTCTTTGAAAACAAGTTTAAAAATAATCGACCGACAATTAGAACTGCCCTCTAAAATTTGTGAGGTCTATATTGCACCAGATGGAGTGGATTTTGCGAAAATTTGCCTGGCTCTGCCTGCTTAGCCAGATCTGGCCCTGGCATTTGAAATTCTTAGAATGAATCATACGCTGCTCTAAAATGCTGTCCCTCGGCCGTTTGGGTATGTTCTCTTAACACTAGGCTGCGTGCTTAGTTGAGCGCATAGTTAACCCCTTTAGTTCGCCGTAATTTGGCATCCTGTCTAATGAAGACAAGACTGCATTCCACCACGTCGTTCCTTACGTCTGTTGCCAGCTCCCCTTACATCAGTCCATTAATGATGAGTAGCACCGTGAGGCCATAAAGGAATTTTTCCAACTTCTCCCATCTTCTCCCACTGGTCGTTGGGCATCATGTATTTCTTGCACTGAACGTTTTTGACCGCCAGTTCCGAAGTATGCAATACTCTCTGGAAGCAGATTGCTTTGTGGGTGATTGTCTCTGCTAAGCTATCTTGCAGCTGGTCGTCTAGTGCCGATCAGCTGGTTGTTAACTTTGCTAGCCAACTATAAACTGTTGGAGGGAATGCGACCAACAACACAAATAGCTACAGGAGACAATTATTCCACTCTAATTATTGTACAAATATTTGGTTCAGGGTATCTTCTAGTCGGGCATTTCCAAAATAAGCCACTCTTGTTTTAATCTCAGACACTCAGAAAACTGTCAGAATTCAAAAAGAATAACGTTAAATATTTGTATCGAGTATCAAGTTATAAATAACAATATTTTCTATAGAGATTTAAAAACACATTGTCAAATTTTAAGGCATATGAAATGTTGTGAAAGTGAAATAGATGATTTGCATATTATTTTTGAAATTTCACTTACCAAATATATATTCCACTTTCATGTGACTGGGCTCAACTTAATATAGACGACCTGCAAAGAGTCCAAAGCGTAGAAAATGTTGTTAGTAAAAGCCGTTTGGCGTAGGTGCTAATGGCCTATATATAGCTAAAATTATAGTTTGTAAATATTGTCAACTGCAGGGGCGTCAATTGTGTTTATAGCTTTGGTTGCTTAATTGACAAATCTGTTAACGGACTGACGTCAGGGCAAAAATTACGCCTTTTAATTAGAGGATAAACAAGACGACAACACGACAGAAACAATTATCGCCCGCGTCTGCAGTCCTCCCCCCCCCCCCCCACCTCCCACACACTAGTCGGAGCCATTAAAACAACGGACTTCATTAAATCCCCATAGACAGAGCATTAAAAAGCCTCAATCCCCCCCCCATTCCCCGGCCCCGCAACGAGGCGTAAAATTGGCAGTCAGTTTTATTTATAGCGCATTAAAATCAATTTTGTGCGTAATTAAATAATCAAAACAACAACAACATCAACAACAAAACGACAATAGCTGAAATCTATTTTTGACGGCCTTAATTGCGGCTTATGAATTTTCCTGGCGACATCTCTGGAAGGCGGAAAAGCAGGAGCCACACCTGCAACAAAGAAACACCCGCCCACCTACGAAAGGATATCTCTGCAGCAATTAAAAGTTTAGAAATAAACTCGAGCGCTTTATTTTTAGCAAAAGAAAATGGGAAATTGAGACAAATCGACGAATAAACAATTTGCGCGTGCAATTGCGCTGCGAAAGCAATTAAATTGCAGCACAGGACGTGGGTAAATATTGAAAGTGCCACCACCTGGCGGCGGGTAGTGTAAACATAGCGGCAAACAACAAAATTGCGAAATACGCACGGGAAGCGGGTAAACAAATGCCACAATTCAAATGTTGTTACCATTATTAGGCAACAGCGCCAAAATAATGCACAACGTAGTAAAGCTGCAAAGGAGGGCAGAGCAAGAGAGAGGGGGAACAGCGAGAGAGAGAGAGAGAGAGAGAGAGGCGCTCTCTGGCCGCTTAGCAGCGACCGCAGTCTGCAAACCGGGCGAGTCTATAAAAGGAAGCGGCATTCAAATTGCCGACTCAAACGCGAAAGGACAACACGCCAGTGTGTACACACAAAGAGCTCGACAAAAGCCGACAACCAAAACAATTCAAAGTAACTATCTGTGTGTGTATGTGTGTGTGTGTGTGAGTTAGTTGCAAGACAAAGACCGGCAACAACAAAGACAGAGCGAGAAAGAGCGAGAGCGAGTCAAAGCGGAAGTGCAGCCAATATTATATTGTCTTAGTACAGTTAACACCCCTAGCCATGGGCACGCCACATGTCTGCTTTGCGGACGAACTGCAGCAGGAGCACCACAACAACAACAACAACAATTCGGCAGGCAGCACTAATAAATGGCTGCTGGAGCTGGAGCCCGGCGCCGCAGAGCGCTCGACGAGCATTTCGCCAACGCCTCGCTACGAGCGCAACATGGGCTTCTTTCAGCTGCTGAGCCGTCGGTTTGGCCTGAGGTCAAGCGATGACCTAGTTCATGGTGCATGCAGCGGCAGCAGCAGCAGCGGCGATGACGCAGCTGCCGGCACAACAGCAGCAGCAGCAGCGGCAGCGGCAGCTGCACAGGAAGAGGATGCGCACAGTTCATCGACCGACTCGTATTCATCGTCCCTGACGGCCAGCCGCGGGTTGGCCGCTGCGCGTCTGGAGCTGATGTCGTGCGCCTCCAGCGAGACCAGCAGCACCATCGACATCGAGGAGCAGCAGCAGCAGCAGCAGCAACAAAATATGGGCAAGCGCAAATCGTTGAGCCGCACAAGCTTCTCACGACTGCAACGCCGGTCGACATCGTCGCTGCGGCGCGCCTTTGAGAGCCTCGCGCTAACATCACGTTCGCTGTCGTGCAGCGGCCCCTCCCCTCCGCCGCCGCCGCCGCCGACTGCGCCACCAGCGCCGCAGCCATTGAAGTCGGCTCTGAAATCGGCATCGACCGTTGAGCTGCACCAGCGACAGCAGCAGCTGCATCACAGGGTGGCCTCCAAATCAGTTAGTAGCTCGAGCGCCTGCTCGACATCGTCGGCGTCCTCCGCATCGTCGAAGAGCAAGGTGAAGCCGCCGCCGCAGCGCATACTGCGTCAGCCCGTATCCTATACATATCTAAAGGGCATGTCCGGTCTGCCGACGCAGCGGGTGCCGCGCAGCTCGGTCTGCTGCCAGTACGCCAGACGCTAGAGAAGCCTCTGGCGAATCTCGAAATACGATTCCAGAACAATCCACAATCCAGTTAAAATATAGTTAAAAAAAAGTAGCTCCAATTCATAGTGCCAAAATCCATGCCCATTCATTTCGAGATCTGTGATACAATAATCTTTTCATATCCACACGAAAGTTCACAAAGCTCATTTCATAAAATGGAAAACCAAAGAAGAACAAAAAGAAAACCAAATTTTTGCAAACAATTTCCAAGACTTAAGCACGCGAAAAAAAGCAAGAAATACTAGAAACTAGATTTTAGATTTTTCCACACACACGGCTTTTGATTAAACATCCATAACAAAAGACTGTCGAGGGGAGAGTTTTGAAATAATAACTAAAAGATTTTGTATGAATTGGTAATTGTTCAGAAAAGAAAGTTTCTCTTAATTGAAGTACTTTAGAGTACAATTTGATTATAATATTATTGTACATTCGTGCCTTTATCCCATGTGTAGATCAAAATTGAAAACAACAACAAAAAAGTAAATTTAAATCTAAAATATTATTAATCAAATAACGACACTTTCGTCTTATATACGTACACACATTTAGTTGGGATCAAAATTTTGTCAGGCAGTTAAATGTAATATTTAAGTACTCAACTATGTTTATACTTAATTGAATTATTTCTTTCGATAGCTAAGATATTTGCTCGTAATTTTAGAGAACAGACAAAATTAATTCGTAACGCACTCCAGTCGTAGGGCTTCACATAGTTATATATATATATATAGACCGATGATATATGCGATAAACTAACCAAGCAGACATTGAAATTCAAAACTGATTATATTATATGATATATATATATATATAAATGAATTCTATAGCAGGCATATACCGTATACACATACATTTACCGCATTGTACTTATAAAGAACAAACAATCCAAGAACTCAACTATATATATAAATATATATATATAGTTAATTATACATATATCGTGCATACAATACATAGAAGGCAAGGCAAGGCAAGGCAAGGCATAAGCAATACAGTTATATACATATACAGCCGATTATAATGAGATATATACCATATACACACATTTACTTAATCATAAGTTAACTATTTACCAAATAGAAGCAGCTAAACTGAATATTTAATTCACACAGCATGTTCAATAAATGAAATAATTTACACCAAACCGAAACTCTTTCTTCTCTTTCTCAACTTTCCGCATAAATATCTATATTTATTTGGCAACTTTCATAATGATGACTGACCCACTTCTCGCAATGGTCGAGTTGGCAAAGTTACCAAAAATAGCTGTTACAATGAATCAAGGCTAATTACAGCCATGGCTAAGGACCAGAAGCCCTTTCATAGCGCCTATATTGCGTATACGCCGCGTATGACAAACTCAATCGATGCCTGATTACATTTTTTTTTTGTTACTTGTTGTTGTCAGCAACAGGGCGGGGCATAGCGTGGGGCGGGCTGGGGCGGGCTGAGGCGGGCTTGCCATCAAAAAGTAGGTCAGCGATTGAAGGAACCATCAATATTTTTCATACATTGCCGATCGAAAATCGTTGCCAGGCAAACACCATAAAATGTTTATGGAAATTTATGTGCGAAATGCGATTCCCTTGTTGAATTTACAACAAGCCAAGCCAAGTTGGCCAAGACAAGCCAAGCCAAGACGTAGACGTAGACACAGTCTGGTCTGGCCCGGCCCGGCCTGGCCTGAACCGTTCGTTCGTGCCGCATTTGATTAACATTATTCCAACTGAATTGGCAGACGAACTGGTATGGAAATAATTACCTAATAAATATGACAAATCAGTCAATTTTGCGCACAGCTTTAAGCTTTCTATGATTTATGCTGCCTTCAAATTTTCCAATCAAAATTTAAACCAAAAATAATAAGTGTGCTCAACTAGGAGATACTCTGTACACACTGCAAGATGATTACAAAGCTTTAGCTTTAGGCTTTTTATTATATTTTGCGGTAAGGAAGGCATCCAAAAACTATAATATTCTGGAGCCCGAAAAACTAATGGGCTGCCTCTATAATTCTCGAGCTATACCTAAAAACCTTGCTTCGAAATCAATTCAACGATCTTATGAAAAGAAGCGTAAGTAATAAAAAATAATTGAGAGCAAATATATGTATTAAATGTTTCCCTATATTTTCTCTAATTGACACGCTCGCATGCGAACAGACAAGCGGACGGATAGAGAGACGGATAGACAGACGGATAGACAGACGGATAGACAGACGGATAGACAGACGGATCGACAGTCGAATATGAATCGAAAGATTCGTCTTGACGAGATAAAGATTATCACACATATATATATTCATTCCGTCTGTTGCATTCGTGTGCTCAAAACTATTATACTCTTTTATTTTATTCATTTTCAATATACCCTGTAATAATGTGTGATCAATCATGTTATACGATAGCTGCTGCTTTTTTGTTTGGCTATTAAATATAATACTATACATTATTTATGTAGAATTTACTTTTTACATTTTATGAAGTTATGCTAGGCAAGCAATAATCACTGCGTTCGGCAGATAAAATCATGGATGAGGTCTCAGGTATACTGGATTCCATCCAATCTTCTCTAATTACCCCCCTCTCTTGAGATATTAATAACAAAATTTAATGCTCTAGTTTAAACATTGCAATCGTCTCACAGATAACGTAACGTATACGCCGCCTGATCCAGCCAATTGATGGAATTCGTTGCAATGCTCTCAAGGCGACAAATTAGCGAGTCAGACAGGCAATCAAAACAGTTTTTGGCCATCAAGTCACGTACAGTTGCCTGGAGAACAACAAATCTGTTGATGTCTGTGGCCAAAAAAAAAATAAGAAAACAAAGTTGATGAAATGCGTCAAAGGCGCTGGCAGACATCAAGTGTTTGCCTGTGGGCGTGTCATTTTGATAATGGAATTGCCTAAAAATACGTATTCAGTGACCTAATTCCCGTTGACAGACGACAAATGTTGGCATACGAATGGATATGTTTTCTCATCCGGCCAACTAGTCGTATGTGTGTGATTTTTATGGACCGCCCGTCCGCCCGCTGTTGCGCATACGACCCATTGGCTCAGTGAAATAGAAAATAACAATTGCGACCGCAGTCACGTAGTCACGCCCCAAAGGCAGGAGCAGCCACCAGGGGAGAAGGGGGGGGGGGGGGGGGGTGAGCTCCTTTGGATCCCGCTGTTGCCTTTTAAGTCGTGTTTATTTTTGGTAGCAGCGACTGCCAATATTTAATTAAGTTTGCGTTTTCTATTTCCTTACTTTTTCGCAGCTATTTTTATCAGTTCGCCGTTTATATTTACCCTTCATTGTCGCCATATAATGCCGCTCTAACTGCGGCCTATTTCACAATATTTTCGCCAACTTGCGGAGCTGGAATTCGAGAACTGCCGACGGCCGCAGCAAAAGCCATATTTTTGTGATGTGGGGCCGCGTAAATTTGTTCCAAAATGTGGTGTGTGGCATGGTACCCAAACAATACAGCAGCATAATTAATCTTCTCTGGCTCATAACAAGGGCCCAAACACAAGGGCCCAAACACAAGAGCCAAAAGGCAAACAGACCGAAAAAAAACAATTAGCAGAAGCCAATTTCCGCATGCCGAATTAATAATACCTTTGCGAACGCGTTTCTGCTGCTTTGGCAACTTAGTAAAGAGCACAAAATAATAAAAATAAAATAAAATAAAATAACAATAAAAATCATAATTAAATCCTTTTTCTTTTAACAAAAACGTGTTAATTTCTTCTACAAAAGTTTAATAATATTGTATTGTTATATTCCTTGCATTAATTAATTCTTAGAGAAGAGATAAGAATTCGGCCTATTCCAATTGGAACTTTACAAATCTCGAGTCCGATAATCCGAATTTAGTTAGTCTGAACTGTATTTTGAATTAAATCATTTACCCAAAAGTCACAGAACCTGAACATGAATAGAAATATAGTTTCTTATGTTAAAAAATCTAGTTCACGAACTGAACCAAAAGCCAAGCTATAGGTTCGAAACGGTTTCTGAAACATTACATGAGAAAATTTTCAATCCTAAAGCGATTCTTAAGCCGAATCAATTACAGTATTAAAAAATCTAGTTCACGAACTGAACCAAAAAGCAAGCAAGAGATTCGAATCGTGAACTGAACCGTGTTCACAACTGGAACGTCTGGCATAACCTTACCTATATTAACCTAAACCCTGAACCGAAACAATTGATCAAAAAAGACGCAGAACCTAAACCGAACTGAAAATAAATATATTTCTATATATATATTAACTTGCATTTCTTAAAGCTGGTTCACGAACTGAACCGATAGGGAAGACCAGAAGCGTGAGCTGAACTAGGGAATACATTTTTTTGCAAGACAAAATTTCTGCTAAATATTGTCTCTTATAAAGTGACAGATTTAAAGTACCCACCCACGTAAGGGTATTTAAAACACGCGTGAAAAATTCCTGTTGCGCTCTCGGCTGACTTCTTACTCGGCATATTTCCGTTTTCAACTGATATATTTGCGCATTTGCCAACACATGTCTTTATATGTTTGCCGTTGCCGCCCGCTCAAGCATCTCGACCCGCTTTATTTCAATATTTACCTTAATGTTGTTTACCTTTATCTTCTTGGGCGGGCGGGCGCTGCTTCTGTTTTTACTTTTTCTGTTTTACTTTCATTTTTCTTTTTGGGTGAAGCACATTTTTGATGATGTCTTCTCATACTTGTTATCTTTACGGCAGTTTCCGTTGCTTTTAATGGCACTCGGCTGTAATTTAATTTTGAATTTCACAATTTCTGATGCACACTCTGCGGGCGTCTTGCCAAAATAAGGCAGCACAACAGAACATTTAATGAATATTTCAAGTGCTGTTGTTGTTGTTGTTGTTTTCGTCGAACCTTTTGCTATTTTTAGCTGCCACGCGAGCATCAAATCTTCGCTTATTGCCCCAAAATTGAAGCCACTTCACGCCAACACGACAGCCCAAAGGACACACGACAAACGACAAAGGACATCCATAGATATTTAGGC